CAATTACCATCATTTCTCGTACCACAGATAATATAATACTAGCTTCTGCAAGGCTTGGTATCCATAGTAAGGGTAGATCAATGTAGAGACGCATGCGCGAGGGTCCGGTCAATAAAAATGAAGATGGCACGTCACCCCGCAGCGTCTGGGGTAAACGACTCGCCAACGTTATCATAGGTCTTGATTTTGTGTGCGAAAATTACTTGGAACGTTACTACGATAGCCTCAATTTCGTATTTACAGTGTTACATTTGCGCTATTATTACGCTACGAAGTCTATTGAAATAACAGATACAGAGTGCTGTATAAAACTTATACGATGTAAAGGATGAAGATCATTATCGTTGAACTACCTATTGCTTTCACGAAAGGATCATTTAGTAACTTCCTGACTTCTAATGCTCTCACGTAGTTCAATTGAAGCCTGATAGAGCGTTACTTTTGGAAGATTTGTCTTTCTAGAAGATAAGTAAGTTTAAGTAGTTCGTAAACATGTGCTGGGCTTTGTTGATATATCTATCCGTTTAAATCTATGTAGTCCAAATTCGATCGAAACAATGAGGTTATTTTGGTTATGAAACATAATAGAGGCGTTGTAGTTCAAACTGGGCCGATACCAATGACCTTTGTTCAGCCCGATGAATCAATGCTCCATTCATTGTTTCATTTTATTGATTTTAACATGAACACGAGACTGACGAGACTTCAGGCAGTCAAAAATAACCTGTTTACACATTCTCATAGAATCCATTATAAATATATTTTTGGCCCATCGTTAACTCGTATCTACAACTGCTCCTTGTTCTTATCTAACTTTGGTTTTCATTCCATGTTTTTTTTTAAATTGATTTGCTATATTAGCTTGGGTCAAAGTTTCAGGAAATATTTGATGTACCAACCTTATTTAAATGAAACAAATTATTCTTATTTAACATGAGAATTACTTTGCAAAAATAGCTATACTTACCTAACTATACATAGTTCCTTTTTGTCGTGGGCAGAGACAGCGAACATCTGGCTTGTTCTGTTTATTTCCTGCGTAAAAGTAACGGTTCCAAAGTATCAGAATGTAATTCTATAGCTTCGAAATCTTCAAACATAGTTGTAACAGCTGGATGATTTTACGTAGAGGGTGTACGCAATCAGAAATTAAAGTTTAGAAATAAACCGTTTATTGGTTTTTCATGTCCTTATTTAATATCGTTAGAGTCCCCGCAGACTATACATTTTTGTCAGCAGAATGAAGAAGTATTAAATAAAGTACGCACATTACTCCAATTCGGTATCGGTCGATTCCTCAAATAAATTATAAGCCGACTAAACTATCACCCAATAAAAAGTCTATAGTTTGAGGGGGAATGATTAAAGTCTATAATATTCAACGACAACTGCGTTGAGAGCCATACTCACTTTGTCTGAAATTGTTACAAATAATGCAGATCCTCACTATCCCAAATAATGGCACATATTGATCCATTGGGTCCGCGCAGCGTCGGAACTTGTAATCAATAGGCACGAAGGAAGACTATAAGAAGGGTGTCTCTGTCGCGCCCTGCCCAGTAGGGTGTCCCGAAATATCTTTTTTTATATTTTCGCTACACAAGACCCCTCAAAAGTTGCGTCATAAGATGTAGATTACCGTAAAAATAATTAAAAAAATATAAAATAATGTCTCAAGGGCTCTACCGGCATTTTTATGTCTCAAAAAATCACTTAATCAGCCCTTCACTGTTTATCATCTAATATATTTTTTCCACAATTATTTCATATTATTTTGTAATAACAGTGGCAGTTGAACCCTAAGATATGATTTGCAGGCAATGGCAGACTGTTTTCAGTGAGGAATAGGTTTGGTTCGAACTAGCAGAATTCATATTTTGACTTGTTTTTCTCAAATTTTCTACTCCTTCGGCGAGGCTGTTGGTATTATTTCTGTTGAGGTTTTATTGCTGTAAGGTATCGCACCGCACTTTTTTGGTATAATATTACATACTTTTAGCATAAATTTAATAAAAATATAGCAATATATGGCAGTAATATACTTTTTGATTTTTTTCAGGTAAAAACTACCTAGCCAAAAATATTTATAATATTATATTTAAACAGAATACTAATTGACATGTTAAATAGTTTTAGCATACTATTAAATATAAATAACATTTATGTACGTTACAAACACTTTCTAGCTGAAGTTTTTGTTGTCTACGCAGGTTTTTATTAATGGTGAACTTCAACGGAAGTAAAAATATATTTTTATTTATGAAACGCATACATGTTATATATCAAATTAAAGACAATTTAATACACTTCTTTGGCTCGTGTAAAACATTTAGTAGAGTATAAGACATTTTGTAAAAAAATGATTTAAAAAGTAGTATCTCAACAATGTAAAAAAAATCAATTTTCCTTTAATTACTAACTAAAGGTTGATTTTATCGATACAATTTATTATACAAAATATCAAGCGCACACGTAGAGCTATCATTTAAATAAAAAAGTAATAAAATCGGACATATGGTTTTCAAGTTATGGTTGATTTTCTAAAATTGACTGCCATTTTTGTTAGCTTCCACTTAGAGATGCCAATCATTGTTTTATAATAGCGTAATAAAATTATTAACCTGCTGTGAGAAGGGAATTGAGTATCCTCAAATTAAATCGATAACTTGGCTGACCCATGGATTAATTAGGAATACATTAAAATCGCGCGCGTAAATGCCTAATTCTGGTCAAAAAGCCAATTCTGTTTTGAAAGTATTTATGGATTTATTGGTTTTTAAACTATTTTAAACCTTGCTGTGACTCATTGTGTACCCTCAAATTTCATAAAAACGCTATTTTTGTATTATTAATAGTTTATGTTAGGAACCCCTAAAATAGCAATTTAAAAAATTTTTAAGGACAGGTAGAGGCCTCAAGATGACAGATATCTCATTAAATTTAATGCTAATCGTAATCTATATGTCAAAACGCAACTTTTGATAACTCTTGCGTAACCGTAGCTCAAAAAAATTTTTTTCCCATACAACGACGGGACACCCTACTGCCCAGGCCAGAGGCTTCCCGGGAGCATGACGTCACCGCTCGATAACGGGTGATGTAACGCTAGGGTGTCTGCCCCGGGTTACTTTGATTCAAGGGTGCTTGAGGTTACAGTTTACATGGTAACAACAATTCGCCTTAGCTTTGATAGAATTCGTTCGTAATGCGTGGCCGCAATATTGAATATCTTGAAGCTCGAGCTTCAGCATCAGGTATCAGTCAGCATCGATTCTCTGACGCTTCTATGTTGCTCCAAACAAGTCAACAAGACAAAACTTGATCACGCAGAACAGACAGCCTTCTCCATGACAACTGTTTAATATGGCAGCTAATTTCTGCAACGTTACTACAAATTGTGGAAAATCTGAGAAATGAATCAGGCAGTCGGTTCGTTGAACATTATATTATAATATCAAACCGGATAAGTTTATTTTTTAAATGTTACGTAGGTTGATCTATATTTGAACGACCTCTCTGCTACTCGGGTTATTTTCCATTACGCATATCAAATTGTGATGTATTTGGAAATATTTCATTTCTGGTTCTAGAATAGTAAAAACACCAACAGGTTTGGACATTAAACTTCGTCAATGTGTTTATAAATACTTTACCATTTAATATCCTGTCGAGTGAGCGAGCACAACACCGATGTTTCAAGGATAAGCAAGTATAAAAATAATCATAACTAGTTTTGGTTTTAAATGGAAAACCCGAGGTGATGTGTGGAATTTTTTTACGATTATTTTTGTATGACCATGAATCGTCTTAAAAAGTCTCATAAGACAAGATTGCAAATGAAACAATTAATATTAATTACGTATCATTCATCAGGAAACTAGAAAAGCTGCTAGGTAATGAAATATGCTAATCACTTTATACTTTAATGATCTCGTCATAATTGTACAAACAAACTTATCAATAAACAAGAATTGTTAATGTCATAAATGAAATTAAATTATCATTAAAATTTGTCTTAATTTTTTTACAAGTAATCCGATGCACGGAACCTGTTCCATAAGAGTTGACTATTCGTTTGAGTATTTTGAACGCGGAGAAATCCGAAAACCGAGATGTTGGCGTCGAAGCGGTTCCTGTTAATGATACGTGCGCGAAACGTAAATAAACATTGACACGTGTTATGGGTGCGGGCCCGAGTCTGCGCCCTGCGCCAGACCAGACGCATCGATTCGCGCCCCCTCCTGTACGTGATGCCCTGTCCTCTGTCCCCAGCCCCACCCAGCGCCACCAGGCACACTAGGCGATAGCCATCCAACACTGAACACAAAGAACATTTCTACAAAATCACCACGACCTACAACACTACAGAACGAAAATAACATATTACGTAATTCTTATATCTTCTATCTAGTAACTGATAGTACCTACCTAACACGCAAGATGAAATACCGATATCAATCAATAAGGGCGAAAAATACTTATATCTACTATCATCGATCATGTTGTTACCTAGGGCGATAGTAAAATTGATTATCCTCATATGACTAATGTTGTTACTACAACAAAGCAAGACAATGCTACTCACAAAGAGGACGCGAAGCTTCTGAAAATCAATACTCGAACTATGAAGGTGGACCTTAGTTAGCGGGAGGAAGCTGATGCTCCGTCATGTACAATTTCGCAGTCAATCAGTGTTAATGTAATTGTAGCAATATATGCTATTAGTACATAACGTGCTTGAGTTGCGGTGGCTAGATGTAAATAAACAGCACGTGCGTGCTTACTATACCTTCTAGCTAGGGGGTGCTCGCGCAAGCGCCGTCGCAGTTTATCTAATTGAACGTCAATAAACCAAATGTAGCTTCTTTTGTATTTACATGCCCTTGACATGCCATAACAGACCAGGTCATACTCTGTGCGTTATGCGTTACATTCACTTCATTGCGTTGCACCTACCTTGCCTTCAATAGTTTGCTTCGCAATTATTGGTCGAAAGACCATGAATTTGTTTGATCTCTAATTCTCTACCTACAGATATTAGGTACATATTACCTACTAGGAATTTATTGAACAAAGTTATGAATTCCTCCAAAATAATAATTTGTGTGTGGCTTATTTGCTTCCAAAGGAAAATTTTAGAAAACACCAAGTGACTAATTTGGTGTGAATTGAGACGGCCTAAAAATAAAAGTGTCCAATCTCAAAGTCCCTTTTTCTAATTTACTTCATTCTGAACTGCTGAATTGAGTTACCAACTTGTTCGTGACGAGGCAAAGGAAAATCCGATTACTAGATTGCGAATTTCGACGCCATTTAAATTGGGGAAAACCAAGAGAGAGTTTGAAAAATTTAGTTCATTACCCTGTTCACTGTTGATAGAGTCAGTTTGGATAATACCATTAAGCTTAATACATTAAACATGGATGATATCCTTCCACATGTCTATGTTTTCCGTCTGTATCACAAATGTGCTACATTACCATGTCATGTAATTTCTTGCTTGATTGTAATGATTAATTTGCATTCAGGGTATGTTTTACCATTAATAGATTTAAGTAGAGTATCTATCTACCCATAATATGTATATTTTCTATCTTTATCATTTCATTACAAACTGTTGCAAGCAAGTTGATCAAATACAAATTACCCATTAACTAGCCTTATCGAAGCACGTAGTCACTTGGTAGGTAGATACAAAACATCAAGATCATTAAAGTAGGTTCATCAGTTTGGTTGCGCGGCGCGATGCGCCCGAGGCCCCGCGATCACCGGTTCGTCATCCACGTTTACTTGGCCGCATAACTGTTTTTTCTCCGATCCTCGCCCACATACAAAAAGCGATGAGCCTTCATCATTATTAAAGCACAACAGAAATGAGCGGCAACATGGCGCAGCAGGCGGCGTGCGACGTTGCCGCGCCGCACGCTCGGCTGACTCGTCACGTGACGTCACGTCTCAAGATGGCCGCCACACCGGTCGCGTCCCCCCGCTCCCGTCTTCCAACCGGATCCGCTCTTGTTACTCGGTAATAATAATTTAGAATGCAGCCGGCCGAAAGGAAACCGACCGAGAATAGATCGAAATTTAATGCATCGAACACGTCCATGTAACGTTCGCAGTAAATAATTGATATTCTACAACAGAAGCAGTTTACTTTCATTGAATTAATATTATAGAGGAAATGAGGGCCCCAGATAACGCACAGTGAATTAGAGAATTGTGTTGTGATTCAACCACTGCTCTACCATTTGTTAAAATCATTCAAAATTGTTTCGCACTGTGCAGCGCTTGCAGGTATTGCCTGTGCTTATTGTGCTGTTTTTTCTTTATTTAATGTAACTACTTACTCAAACCTTTGATAAGTATGTATTTTTGGTTGCTTTTAGTGTAATCATTCGTCTGCATCAGTTGAGACGTGCATCAAGTGCACACGTATGGTTATCGCGCGATAAGCGCTTGTGTGGGGCGCTTGGCGCATCCGCGTCGCGGCTAACGGCTCGGGCGCGTCGCGCCGTGGTCGCGGTGCGCGCGCTGACGTCACCGCTCGATAATGGCCGCTGCCGCCCCGGCACCCCGCTTGCCGCCGCTCGCCGCGACTTGGCTCAGTCTCTCTCCGACCCGCAAACGAAGCGAGTGCCTTGCAATTTCCGCGTCTCCGGTGCTCCGTGATCACGAAACCGAATGTGAAACTAATCAGTGATCCTGTGTAACATGGTGACCGTGTTTTTCGTTGCGAGTTAAATAAATCAGTGACAATTTATAAGAGAAACGAGGAAGGCCGATCTCTCGCTCTCCGTACTACGTCCGGCGGCGAGATGTCGGTGATGCAGAAGCGGCAGCACTGCTACCTGTGCGACTTGCCCCGCATGCCGTGGGCAATGTTGCACGAGTTTTCGGAGGCGGTGTGTCGTGGGTGCGTGAACTATGAGGGAGCAGACCGCATCGAGGTGGTCCTCGATACCGCTCGTCAGTTAAAGCGCGCCCATGGGTTCCAAGAGGGTCGTGGCCCCACACACGCTAAAGGAGCTCATCGGGCACCTTTGGATGCTCATCAAAACGGAGCTGAAACGACAGCCAGAGGTCAGCCGGCACCTCCAGCCCATCATGCACCTACAACTGGTTTTACATTACATCACACCCGACCCTCAGCTGGCGCTGGTCTTCTAGCGGAATACGGCGGCCGAAGAGAGGAACATGAAGGACGACGGCTAGCACATTTACCCGCGCACCACCTGCCGACACACGCTGGCGCTCGCCTCGCTCCAGGCTTGACCCTCAAAAGGCCGCTTGACGAGGATGATCACCAAAATCACCACGAGCCTACCAAAAGGCTCCTTGAAGAACACAGTCGGCCACCACTAACACGTGGTGATTCCCTGCCAGCTGTTTCCTTGTCAGCTTCAACATTCGCTGCAGATCGTGTCTTCAAGCAGGAGAAACATCCGCTCCGTACACCATCTTTTGATGCATCATCATTTAAATCTAACGGTAAGATTTATAGGTATTTAGCAAATTTATAAACTATGCTCTTTTAATTTAGTTAAGTCGGTATAGTAGTTCACATGTAGTATGGGTTTCGACGACGTGCGGAAAATAAATAAGGTAGGCAAGATACTTAATTACCACGCTAACAACGACCTGCAAAATCAGTGAGTTTTTAGATGTAATTTGTTGGAGTATTATTTTTGTATAATTTAGTAAAGTTTTATGCATGTGCTCGGACAAAATATTGAAAGAAACAATGTGAATATTGTGATTTATAAATTTTATCTGGTAATAGACTGGAAGTAATTGGACAAAAACGATCGAGCTGGACGCGCAGCTTTCAAAAGTCATTCACATCTCTCAATAAACAAAATAATATGACAAACTAATTTAAGTAGCTTTGGTAAGATTGGTAATTGTATGAATTCAAAAAACAGGCGCTACCAAAAAAGCCTAAAACATTCGTCCTTAATAATAAAGGCAATATACAGCAATAGTTTGGATTTTAATTGAATAAGAATTAATTATTCTTATTCTTATAATTAATACAACGCACCTGTAACGCCCCTGGGTCTGCGGGTGTCTATGGGCGACGGTAATCACTTACCATCAGGTGATCCGTTTGCTCGTTTGCCTCCTATCACATAAAAAAATAATAATAATAATCATTACAAGACATGTCAAAATGGTATTCAGTAAAAATTGACCAAGAATCAAATAAAAATCATAACAGCTTTCATTCCTAGTCATCTGTTTTATTTACAGACTACAAGAAACTTTCTTGATGAAATCTCATTCTGTCCGTTGGAATAAAATCACTCTACAAAGTGCAAAAAGAACAATTTGCACAAATAAATTACGCATACCCCAAATCATTTATGCCATAAATTAAGTTGATATGCTACGAGTATAAGGCTAAAATGTATACGAATGATGTAACTCTGTAGACATTCTGTTGTTTATCAATAACAATGTAGGTTAAAACTTTTAAAATAGTCGTGTATTTCAAATCACGCGTAACATACTATGAACTAACGTGAACGTGCTCGGTCCGACAATCGTGAATGTTTTGCGCAAGCGCCCGCCACGGGATTCATATCTAGGTAGGTGCATTAACTCAGTCCATAAATATGAAACCGGTCCAACTGGTTGAGCGTTCTCGAAAGCGAGCCCGCGGCCTCTCGCACACAACCTCGCTACGTACAAACACCCACGTAATGTAAACGAGCAACCGCGCCGTGAATGCATGCACGACACGACGGTGTGGCAACGTCGCGTGACGACATTTTCGCTCGCGTACGTATGTAGGTAGGCCGTCGGGCGAAAAAATATATCGCCTGCCTACGCTTGGCAGAGTCGCTCGACCACATTCCGCTGGCGTGTGTAGGGAGCGCGGCGGCCACGAGCTGCCGGCCAAAAAGGTCACCGCGTGACGTCACCGTCGCCATATGGGCCGTGCCTTCCAACCGATCGGCTTCCCGGCTATCACTCCCGCCCTTTACTATCCTCTGAATCTAATGAATAGCAAATTCAAACATTCCCCCATTTTTTAAATAACATTATTGTCTATTGATGTAATGAATCGTCCATGTACATCAACGAGAGTTCATAACGCAATGTGTAGGCAATAAAGTAAGACATTTTAACTGGAATCTATCTTGGGGCAATTTTTAACCCATAATACAAACTTAAAATTCGATATCACTCATCGAATCATTTAATTTACATAAAAGCTTACTCATATTAGTTCATGTGTATTTGATAAAATTCTTAAATGAGTTCAATATTTTAGTGACAGTTAAATATTTCATAACATAGCAACGGCAGGCTATCAACACACACTCGGGACCCACATACAGCCGTTTGGCAACGTCGCAACGATCGCGATACGACTGGATACACATTTGAGTGCGGACTCGTATCAACTCAATTATACTACTTACCTACCCGTCTAGTGGGTGAGTTGGGCTGAACCCGCAAGCGCCAGCGCCACGTCGTGTGACCAACTGGTGACACATGCTCTCTACGTAAGCGTGTATTAACACACAATGCTATTTATAAGACATTATATGCGTGTGTGAACGTGTGTTTACTATCCGTCGCTCCACCGCAAATGATGTGTCATCCAGTGTTGAATGTAAGGTTATTCGAACAAAATAAACCAATATTTGGATTTACACACTAGGAACCATTGGTCAGTTAAGACTTGTTACTGCTATTTGATACCAGAGGTAGGATAGGATAACTGAAAGCGAAATGGGCATAGGTTTGGAGTTGCGCCTGAATATGAGGCAAAAATATATTTTATTGCTTAACACTACTATACCGACTATAATGATTCAGTTTTTGTTTTATTGAATTATTTATTTTTGGATTTATATTTACAAATAGCTTCTATTTTCAGGATACGGCAACAGCGCACCGTTGACGAACGGGTCCTCTAACTCGCCACTGGGTCGCGCAGCAGGTTCACCGCCAGTGACCGGGGCGGGCGGCGTGGGCGGCGCGGCGGGCGCGGGCCCGTCCCCCATGGCCGCGCTCATGTCGGTGGCCGACACGCTGCCGCCCGGCTCGCCGCGCTCCGCCGGCGGCTCTCCCCCGCAGCCGCCTCCACAGCGCTCCAACAGCCGTTCCAGCCAACACTCTCCCAATTCTTCAGGTGCGCCTCGATTCCGTCATTATTATGAGTTTCCCTCGAGTCACTTAACCGTTTTTAAATTGGAACTTTTGCATTAATTTATATTTATAACTGAGAGAAAACATTAAAAACATACATAATGTGTAAATTACAATTATTGCGGCTCGAACTGCATTTGGCGTTTGCGTACCGCTCGGGCGGGCGCCCGACGACCGCCTGCGCCCTTCTTCACGTCTCAGTTACGGTCTGCTCGGTTCGATCGCGAACGACCTTTTGACGTGTTAGGATTAGTAGGTTCCACCGGCAGACGGTAGCTAACGGTATCCTCCGATCGCAGGGTCGAACGGCGGACGGCGGTCGTCGGGCTCGCGGCACGTGTCGTCGACGACGTCGGTGTCGTCGACGGAGGCGGGCGACGGCGGAGACGCGGCCGCGCCCGCGCCCGCGCCGCTGCTGAAGTGCACGCTGTGCCAGGAGCGCCTCGAGGACACCCACTTCGTGCAGTGCCCTAGCCAGCCGCACCACAAGTTCTGCTTCCCCTGCTCTCGGGACTCCATCAAGCGACAGCAAGGATCTGAGGTATGTAACTACCTGCACTCCTGTGTAATCTTCGTATTTAAATCATATTTTTGCCGAGATTATTCAATTGTGATGTCTCTTTCAGGTTTACTGTCCAAGTGGAGAAAAATGCCCGTTGGCAAACTCGACGGTGCCATGGGCTTTCATGCAGGGTGAGATCGCGACGATCCTCGGCGAGGAGTTCAAGCCGAAGAAGGAGCGGGAGACCTAGGGATGCGCCGTGGTGTCCCGACTCTACCTCTTGTCCCTCTCGCTGTGAAGAGCGCGGGAGCGTATGCCGCGGCACGCGGCCGCAAGCGCACAGCGCGCGGCTCCGCGGCGCAGCAGGCCGGCGCCTGCCGCCACAACCGACACTTGTATATAGCTCTGTAAATAGTCCTGTAAGTTTGGTTCGCTGCCGACGCGCGAGCGGCCGAGACGCGCAGGGTGTCGGCGGCGGCGCCTGCGACCCCTTGAGCGGGTCTTGGCCTTTGTTGGATACTTTCTGGTCTCGTTGCTCGCGGGACGGTGTGTCGATCTGATTTTTTGTCGGGAGCTGTCGTTGAGTTTAGAGGACGGTACGCTGCAACGTGCAGTATTTCTTCGGATGCCATTTTCTTAGTTACCTTTAGGTCCCGAACCATAGTGAACTTGGCATTTATTTATGTGATTCTATATACTGTACGAGTATTATACGATATACGATCATGACATATTATGTAGTCAAGGGTACTGATTGTAAAAACTTAGTTTCTGACGCCGGAGAAGCGTCTCAATGTACAGATCTTAGCTCGATGTATATTTGTATTTATTGCATATGACGCGTACTAAATATTCTTGTTTTCTACGAAGCGATTTATTCAGAGTGGCTCGAGTTCCGTTACTGTCTTGCATTCGATGACAAAATTCGTCTTTTCGAATTGTTTTCTTTTCATTTATATCGAGAGACGATATGCGTTCTATTGAGATTGGGAATTGTTCAAAATTATATTTTTGATATTTTAACTGTATGGAGTTGATTTGAGTTGATTATTTTGTAAGGATAAGTTAATCTGTAAGCGACATGGGGCTGGCCGCGCGACCGGCGCGGCGGCTGCAGTATTAGCGAGACCGCTTACATACGCTGGGAGCGTACCTAGTCATTTTGTGAAATGTCAAATTGTCAGAACCGCGACCACGCGGCCGTTATAGGAACTCTTAAAACTCGCTGCTATATTTGTATAAAGTGAAGTAATTATCATTATATAATTATCATTATATGTCATAATATTAAACAGTTCGTAGTGTGTGTCAATTTCGAAGGCTATCAGAGGACGGCCGTACTAGCTTTGGGTTTTGTTTTCGCATTATAATATACCTTATATATATATTATGGTTCCGGAGTCTTGTCTGGTGGGCGTTTAGTCGCTGGAGGCATGCCGAGACAGTCGCCCGAGGTGACAACTTTGAGCGACTGCCTCGGCTCGTCAATAGCAACTGCATTTTATGTAAATCATTTGAGTCTTCTTCGATATTTCTTCGTATAGCGTTTGATATCTATAAGTCGAGACTTGAAGTCTTTAAACGGTACATATTAGAACATTCAATTAAATTGACATGTCCATTATTTATTTTAGATATATCATTGTGTACATATACGTACGTTGTATAAACTTGTTGTAAATATTTTAGGTAGAAAGAAGGGCCACTGAAATTCTGGGGAAGTTCTCATTCAGTATTAGTGGAGACTTTGAGCCTTATGTAGATGATGTAACGTTTTAAACTCTTCAGTAAATTGTATTCATTGTTAATAAAAATCATACTTATTTTCAATTTTAAATAAGTATTTTCTATGAACTATCGATATTTAATCACTAATTACTAGCAAGTTATTTTATGTTCTATGGGTGCTGACAGACGTTTGGGAGTTTCATTTTTGGTTTCGAGTCACGATGTTTGTGTAGTCCAGTGACTGATATTCAGAATCGTCGATAAAGCTACTTCGTTATTTCTGATAGATTCGAAATTGATGATTAGTATTATCAGTGGAAGAAGCACCCGGGTGCGGGTTTGTCAAATAATTAGTTCTCGCCCAACGCGGCAGATATTGTGAGCACAACGTGTGCATCTGATTTTATTTGGTACATTAAATGTACGTATTTTGTACTTGTTACGAGTCACACGGCGAAGTGTTTTGAATTAAATACATACCTACATACTTACTTAAAATTTCAATCACAATTTTTACCGACTTGTGTAATGGGATACGACTAGTGATTTGTAATTTTAAAACGTGACTTAATAAATTAAAAATATGATGTTGAATAAGTTATGAATTACTTAATTGAAAATGTATAATGCTAGTCGGATCCTTTCTACTCGTAAATGAATATTGTCCATGGTCTTGCTCTTATAATATTTGACTGATCCATGTATATGTTGTTGTATTTAATGTATTTTGACTCTTAATAACAATGTTTCAAGTAAGATTTTAATTACGAGTACTTCAGGGCTGCGTTTTAAGGCCACTTTTTACTGTTTAGATACTGGAGCGTGCACAATCTGCTGTGTTTACTTGCTGTTCTCTAACGTACATTTAATATGTCAAACTGTCATAGTCCGCCTCTACCCATAGGCTTGTTTGTAGACGTCGATGGAGTCGACATGAAATGTATAATTTGAGACATGTCTCTTTCTTACTATAAGCAGCAGTGAAATGCTTTGTTTAAGACGTTAATGTACATGTTGGTGAAATACAATTGATGTGATTTTGTAATTTTGTATTTTTATTTTACTCGCCTACCCAAAAAAAAGAAACAAATACTTACATTCCTTCTTAATTTGAATGAAATCAGGTTTAACCCCCAGTTAAATTTAAACACTTGCCCTTTGAGCACTGGCCCTACTGTCCCGAAACAGTGGTAGGGTTAATACTGGGACGTGTAAGTGATGGTGCTGTTTAAAAGCCTAAATGCAAAAAATAAATGAGTTTTATGAAGGATATATTATTATGTACATACCAAAACATATCAAATTAAATTACATACTTGTGCTCACGTATATCGATGCACGTACTTATTAAACTCGCCAGTGAATCGTGTAATTTCTGCTCTAATCTGTATAACACTGAGTTGTAAATGAGTATCCATTCTCACAATTGTAACATAATTTACTTATCGCGGTATTAACATACTTCATTAGCTGAGTCGCGTCGTCACAATTCTAAACCAATCATTACATTTGATACTTGGACACGTAATTTATTATAGAACTTCTTTGTTCTGGTGGCCTTAAATTAAGAGACTTGAGAATGGCATGCCAAATAAGATTTTGATAAACGTAGATAATAATATCAAGTAATTTCTTTAGCTGAGATACAATCAAACAAAACGCCTTGACTGTTTTTGTACTCTCGAAAGAGGACTAAAAATGTTTTATTTTATTTTTCCAGATCGGAGCGGGGCAGCAGAGAGGATGCCAGAGCCCCTGTGCCTGACCAACAGATGAGAAGCCACGCCCCGCGGTACCCAGTCGATAGATATTTGGTTAGTAGAGACTGTAACAAACAGCAACTTCAACTTTAGCCTCGTCATATTCCACGTTGACCCATCATAATCCATACTGTCAAATTACAGGTTGAGAGCAGCAAAAATATTGAAATGGTTAACATCATAGATGACGAGATTTGGAATACAGAGCCAGCGCTACGACCAGAGGATGAAATAATTTTGAGGAAACTCCACGACATGCTGCAGTCCACGGCAGACGACCTCAAGCTGCTGTCCGGGGAGCTGGCCCGGGCCCACGAGCCGCGGGCCCAGCACAAGGCGCAGCCCGCTCCCTTGGACGACGACTTCAACGAACAAATCCACATCGAGGAGCTGGTCAATGCCAAATTTCATGGCTACAAAATTATTGACAAAACATTGCCATTCTCATCCGAGTCTAGACCAAAAATAGCTAATGAATCGCTAAGCCGCAAACCACAAAATACTAAAGCTATAAATACAGGTGTTCAGGTAAACCAAACGTCACTGAAAAAATCTTCCATAAATAAAAATTTGCAAATAACACGGCCAAAAATAGTTCAAATCAAAGAAGATCCGCAAAGAGAAAGTTTATTAAACAATGGAAAACCGAGAAAGAGTACTCCTACGGTACATTATAACGAATTCAGTTATAAATACGAAGAACCGAAAGATGAGTCACCGTCAAAAACGTTACAGATACAAAAAATGCCGGAAGTAAATATAAGAGGTGAGCTGAAACAGCAAAAGGTTTTACAGTTAGATATTATGCCAGAATTTAGAAAAGAGTCGGAAGAAGTAATTAATAGTAATAATAATGTAGGTGTTATAGCTGTCCAACATGAAACCTGCCCACCGCAACAACACGCTCCTCCTAAAATTAGTAAACAATATTCTAAAACCTACCATGTATCAAGTAAACCATCTATCAGAAAAGTATCCAAGATGTCAACTTACGAAAGTAGTGAATCTACTAATAATGTTAGTTCTGATGCTCATCGCCGTCAAGTAATGCACAAACAATTGAAACTCGCCTTGAAATCATCTCCTAAAAGCACGGTACGCAATGAAACTAAAAACAAAAGGGTGATTAATAAAAAAGAAACTGAAAAACGCCCACATTTAAATTTAGATGAATGGAAGAAGAAGTTAAACGCCGTTTATGGACAACCTTCAAGTTCCAAGAAAGGGATTCCATCAAAACATAAAAAACTCTCTCCTAAAAAATCCAACATATTATCACGTACAACAGCAAAGTCAAATCCATTGAATAATGCCGAATACATTCCATATTCACAGCTCACTGTAGGAGGTGTTAGAGTTAGTGATATTGAAAGGGAACTGTCAGATATACCAAACAGAAATGAAGTTCCACTCAGCCCAATTTTAGATAAAATTCTGAGCAGCAGAGAAAATTCCTTTCATAAAGATAGCCCAAGAAAACATACTCATAAAAATAGTCCAAAAGTTCTTACAACATCCGATGAGAATTTACTTCAAGAAGTGATAGATATAGAAAAAACTGTTAACCAAACATTAGCTAATAATATTAAAGATAGTAAAGATAACACACCCGAGAATACGACGCAGAACAATGCAAACAGTGAAAATTACGAAGGAAATAGTTATGCTGATGATTTTGAAGATGACAAAAGTGATCAATCTGCACGTTCAGAAGACCCAGTCAGTAACAAATCTCAGGTTGCCTCTGATAAATCTAAGAGCGATGAAGATAAAGCAAATAATTCTCATGATGAAACAGAGCTTGATAATGAAAACATAAATCCTAACACTTCTGATGTTAATATACAAAACTCAACATACACAAAAGTCTTAAACTTATCATTTAAGAATTCAGTAGACATATTTGAATTTGTTCACTCAATCGACACACATGACACAGGCACACAAAGTAATACCATCAGTAAAATATCTTTAAAAGAAACTCAAACATCGCCGAGAAACGAAAAATCAAACATAAAACCCATTCATAATGATTTATGGCCTTCTATCGACCCAAAAGGTGAGGTGGAAAATTTGTTTGAGCTTGAAAAAGATTTTATCAAAAAATTAATTATAGAGGAATATGGAGATATTCTTGAAAAGAACATTAATAAACCATCAATTTCAAAGGATGAAGGAGATAGGCAAAATAATGTAGTAGCCTCACAGAAGATTACACAAACATCTCCGGCTCACGTTAAAAGTGTGATGACATCTCCCACTCGGACCAAGACTCGCACGACATCGCCTTTTAGATTATCTTTAACAGTCGATCGCCAAACCAGCCCTATGATCCAGGTGACGAATGAGGACGATCTTAAAATTGAAATAGCGAACGAAGTTGAAGATCTCGGTATATCTATTAATCTTTCATCGCCCCGGTTCAGTTTGCGTCTGCCGCAGACGTCGCGCGAGATTCTTTCCAATCTCGATGATGACAGTCGAAATCATTCTAAGCTTCATCAGAAAGATGTTAGCCAGGGTATAGAATCGAGAACTTTTAGAAAATATGCAGCAAGTAGTTCAAGCTCCGTAGACGCTGATAATTCGTCATCAGAAATAAGTAGCCTAGGTGAAGTGAAACTGAAAAGAAAGCTTAGGAAAATAAATAGAGTACCGTCCGTATCCGAGTCTAGTGGCTCGTCCATGATCTCTAGACGGAGTTTAGAGTTAGTTTCAGGAGATGTATTGCCTTTGAAAAGCGAAGGCGAAGTTAGCTTTGGACAAATAGTTAGAAAGCCTAGACACAAGCGAAAAGAAAGCGATGGTGAAATGAATCTATGATTTATGCTATTACTGTTGTGTTTGCGATATGAATTCTATACTTACTTAGATGTAATGTTGTTTTGATTCCCTCGGTGCCTTGAAAGTTGGAGGTATTGTGGTATGTTTGATCGAGTTCATGTTGAATACATTTGTTGTTTACTCACCTGAAGTACAAATCGGTTATCGCAATATAATTTGTGATATTTATTTTATTTTAAGTGTACAAATAATTTAATTTAGAGTATTTTAAACATTAGTTATAAGACTATTTTTGCACTACGACTGAAATAAACAGTTATTTTGATTTAAGAAAAATTGTTGTGTTTTATTAACCTTCATAATTTCGCCTGCCCGAGGCGCTTTGCTTTAATTTTCTTTATTTTTAATTAAAGGTTAAAAAAAGATATTTGAGCTGAGTTAGCATTAAACAGGACTACGGAACGCTAAAAAGCGCAGAAGCCGAGGTTCATCATATTATGTGGATTATTTTATACCTACATTACAACAACAACCAGAGTTAGAAAATGCACTAGCTGAACATAGTTACGCGGATGGCGTTTTGGTTTACTAAACAAGATGGATAACATTTTAATATTGTTTTTAGACACACCCTAATTGTTTGAAGTCCTAGTCATCGGTCTGACTAATGAAAGTAGAGTTGAAAATTTTTTCCTCTCAACTGGCAGTTGTTCATGCGCGCTATAAACTTATCGAAAATATTTCTTCACTTTTCCGGTCATGTCATCTCGTTCTGTGGACGCCCTCTGCCCCATCTAGGGGACATAGGACCATAAGTCAAAAGTCATCTCGTTCTATCGTAAAGAATCGCAATTTGATGAGAGCGAGAGAAAAAGGGTAACTAGAGTGGCGGCGTACCATGGGTTGCCCCCCCCCCCCCGTCATAAGTCCTAATAAGGCACCCCCTGGTACCCCCCAGGATTTTGGGGTTACGATTCGAAGATTGACAGTCGCACCCTGAATCATGACATAGACCGCAGATTTGCCAGAGAGTAAATTATATTCTTTGGTACTAATCTGCGCGACTTGTGTCACCCCCTGATGCTTGGCACCCGGGGCGGACCGCCCCCATCGCCGGTTTTAGAAGACTTGGCTGTATGACGTATGCCTTTCTTCTTCTTCTTCTTCTTATTAATGACGATGAACTTGTGTTTTTCGCCACAGGGCACACTGTTCCGCCAATATCACGTGCGCAGCTTTTACACGGTGTAGGTATTTAAATTTTAGATAAATTTAAATTTTCAAAGGTATGCTAAGCAAAATACCTAAAACTTGGCTGTATGACGTATGCCTTTGCCATCATATTAAAAAATGATCATCACTCAGTGACATTGACACTTGCTTGATGCTTGACAGTTTTGACAGATAATAAATTGTTTGTGGTTTGTGCGGCTTATCGCCTGCCTTGTTTTGCCTAATCAATCTTCATAATTTCAAACAAACAACGATTCAAATCGCCTGAATGGTTGTGGATACGTAATAAACTAATTACACACACAGTCGTTCAGTCGCTGACATCACTCTCAAGTGCGAAACGCTTTGTTGTTAGCTTGTACCTACTTAGTAATAATTTAATATTTTCGTTGTTTTCAGCGTAAAACATGAGATTGTGTTTGTTACTGTTTCTTTTTGGGGTATCATGGGCCAAAACTGTCGATTTGGACTCCAATTATCTTCAGCCGGAGCAAATCCACATATCCTTTGGAGGTAAATTCATTAAGTTTCTACTACTTTACAAGTACTAGAGTATTTGAGATTGAGTACCTGTTTTAGTTGTGCTGGTCTCGTAATGTATAATCAAGAACAAGAGAAACAAAACAAATACCGTCTAGGTATAAAAGAAAAAACATTTATACACTCCTACCCTCTGACCGCCTCTTTTATTTCTTTTTCAGAAGAAGAATTTCTGGGTCAGAAGTTCAGAACTGGGTATGATTTTAATTATAATAATTATAAAAACCGGTCAGAGGGTAGGGTTAGCTATGTTTTTTTTTAAATAATAAAACAAATTTTGGTATTCAAAAACAAGCCAATATTTATCTGGTTCATATTTCATTTTATCAAACTTAAAACCACCAGTAATCAACCTAATTAATTATACTTAGGTACTCTCCAAATTTAAAATTTTATAGCGTGTAAAATTATTTATTAGTAGGTATATGAAGTTGTGATTAGGTGTTTAACTCATAATAACAATTTGTTCAAAACATGATTAGCCTCATTACATTATCACTATCACTGGGCTGCTATGTAAATAATAATGTTCCCATTTCATTCCTCGTAATATTAATATCCTTGTCTAGTGTAGAATGTTAGTTTCTTATTTCTATTGGTTCAATTTATGGAGTTAGGACTCCAGATTTTAATGGCACTTACACTCACCTGACTTTAGCCTGACTATATCTTACAAATCTATATTTTACTACCTATCCATACTAAGTGGACTGTAATATTTTTTTTGTGACAAGAACTTTGTCATTTGCACTTTTATTGAGCCACATACTTTATGTTTTCAGAAAAAACAAATGATATAGTGGTGACGTGGTCGACATTCAACGATACTGAGTCCAGAGTTATTTATAGAGTCAATGGCACGCCACACTGGTCAAAGGTCACAGGATTCAGTAAAGTGTTTGTGGATGGGGGCAAGATGAAGAGGCCTCAATGGATCCACCGAGCTACGCTTGCAAACCTCAAGTTTGACACTCGATACCGTGAGTTTAACCACATCTGTATTAAATAAGATGGACTGTCTCAGATCCAGATTTTCCATATTCATTTCCCAGTAAGGGCAAAATCAAAAGTTTTTCCAGGTTAAGTCTAGCTTGACTTGCTGTGAACCAAAAACAAAAGGATTTGTACTGTCTGAACAAGGAAAATTAAATGTGAATATCATATTAGTCACAGTACCTACATGACTTAAAACACGGAAAACATAAATAATGTTTCTTGTATGTATTTTTTACCTATTCCCTAACCCAAAACTAAGAGGATTTTATACCAAGTAAATTGAAATGCAGAATGCTGCGGTTAAATGCAAGCACTATGAAAGAATAAAGTAAGTAATCTAGTATCACTGGTATAACGAACTTTTTATCAGTTGTGATAATTAAATTATCATTCTCGCATTGTAAAAACGGCGAGTGATTATTATTATCTCGGGCGTGGACATCTAGGTCATCAGTTTAGCAAATCTACGTCAACGTCGTCAACTATGTTTTACAAATAAATGTTTCGGTTTGTTCTACAATCTTTATCTGTGTATTGCGTGCTGTTAACTTAAGTTTATTTTTTGTAACTTTTGCTTGATCAAGGAGCTTTTGCTATTGAGTCAAAGTGAATAAATAATGGTCATAGAGCGCAGCAAACATAAATCCGGAAAAAAACTGTTTGATAGAACTTCAATCTCGCCATCGCAATCGAAGAAAAGCGATCTCGCCGTTCAAAATTTGATTTCCATACAGGCGCCAAGTAGCAACAGACAGTTAAAATACCACACGATGGATCAACGATCTGGTGAAGGTCACACCAGCGAAGCACCTGGATGCACACAACGCATAGCAGGACCGGTAGTTGTGGAAATCCTTGGTGGAGGTCTTTGGTTAGCAACCCACCACCACCCATGGCCATACCAACCTTGCGGTTATACTGGCCAAATCGCGGGAGGTGTGCGCGGAATTGCGGCTGCCTAAGGCAGATTGCACTCCACCGCGCCACACTTCTTGACTCCCTACAAGTTATTTGGTTAGAAAGAAAGAAAGAAACATTTATTGCCATGGACATCACAAAAGACAAAAGAGGTAAAATAAAAAAAAAAGCAAATAAGACAGAGGTGACATAAAACATACAATGAATGAGCAAGTAAACTAGGCAGTGCCACCCTGTCGCACAGCGATGCCCATCGCAATGGGACCCCACTCAGCATATGCCGTGGCCCCCGGTGAGGGAGGACACGACGCTGGTTTTCAGTGTGCCCCATGCCGAGTGAGAGTCACGGACACTAACCTATACTGCATAAAATATACATATATAAATAATAATAAGGTTAGCAGTAGACCGTTGCTGAAGTGGTCGTCGTTTGCAGAGTACATGGTGGGGTCGGCGGCGGCGCCGTCGGGCCTGCTGTCGTTCAAGACGCCGCCCGCGGGCGAGGACTGGGTGCTGCGCCTGGCGCTCTACGGAGACATGGGCGTCAACAACTCCTTGGTGAGTGCCGGCACGACAGTGTGCGTGGAGTTAGGCCCGGTTTCCACCAAAGCGCGTAGGCGGAGCGGAAAAGTGTTGAGCCGTCAAATTGTTTTCTATAGAATAGAATTTGACAGCGGCGGCGGAGAGGAGACGAGAAGTGGGAATAAATTAAATCTGATTGGTTATTCAACACACTTCCCTGCTCCGCTCCGCTTTGGTGGAAACCGGTCCTCAAACCTCTTTTACGGGCGTCAGAAACGCAATAGCAGCGCGGTAGCAGCGAATGCCTGCTATCACACTATAAAATATAAGGGTTCCGTCTTTTGCCATTTGGCTATTGAACCCTAAAAAGCCGCTGCCGCGTATAAAATTACCAGCGCGTTTCTGTCTCGCGGTAGCACTGCTAAAGTCGCCAGAATGTGAAAGCACTAAATTTTCTTTTACTATTTTTTGGGACTAGGTTGGAAAGTCCTTGCTCTCACTGCTAACAACTCCTGTGTAGCCAAGATTTACAGCTTACCGCCAATAAAAATCCGATCAATGAATGACAAGAAATTGTCTTTACGTATGATCCAAAATATCTTTCGATTTCAATCTGGGGGCACGGCAGTGCCCATCGAGACTTGGCTAGTATTTTACAGAATGTTTTTGATGGGTATAAACCTTACTACCCAAATAAAAAGGTATACCTTAAGACGTATCCAAGGCCGACTACAAGGTGGACCGACGACATCGTAAAGGTAGCAGGGAAGCGCTGGACGCAGGCCGCTACCAATCGATCAACATGGAAAGCATTGGGGGAGGCCTATGTTCAGCAGTGGACGTCCTGTGGCTGAAATGATGATGATGATGACGATGAATTGCCGGCAGTCGCTACCATTCCTGAAGAAGGACGTGGAGCAGGACAAGTACGACATGATCCTGCACGTGGGCGACTTCGCGTACGACATGAACGAGCAGGAGGGCCGCGTGGGAGACGCCTTCATGCGCAAGCTGCAGCCTGTCGCCGCGCGCCTGCCCTACATGACCTGCCCTGGCAACCACGAGAGCGCCTAGTGAGTGTCTTAAGTCATAACAGTTTTTTTATGCATAACTATTCACGAGAGTGAAGGCGAGAGCCTTGAAAAGGCCGGTCTTCGGGAAAGACAGCAGCAGGCAACAAATTCCAGTCTCTAGCCGTTCGCATTATAAAAGAGTCATCGAAACGCTTAGTGCGAGCTGGTGGAATGTCAACAATATAGGGATGGTACGCTAACCTGCGTCTGGTTCCCCGATGATGGAAGGGGGCTGGTGGAATTAATTCGTGTACTTTATTTTCTACTGATAGGCTTTTAAAGGGCGCGTTTACACCTTTATCTCTCTCTTGCTTAGTCGCTCTTTAGCACCACCTGCCTATTATGACGTGTCTGGCGACCGCAAGCCTTGAGCTTAGTGAGTATCTCATCGGCCCTCTAACACTAGCTGTGTAACGAGTCAGCCTCTCTCGTTGAATCACCAGAGATCAGTCGATCAGGTTGTGGAAACCAGTCGCTCCTGCCTGTTTGCATTATGTCTAGGCAATCACGAGAGCATCTCGTAAGTCTCTCTTGCTCTCACATTTTAGCACTTCTTGTCTACATGACCTTCCTGGGCGACCTCAAAAGCTCCTAGTGAGTCTCAGTCGTCCTCCACTATCTTGTGTCCGCGAATGTCGCCCAGCGACTTACGGTAACTTGTCAGTGGCATAATTATCTGCAATTTGCGTACGTGCTCATTTACCTACCGACACTCCAGCGACATACCAATATCTACTTGAACGAGATGGAAAATCAATGATTATAACCAGCCGACAAAAACGTCGACATTTCTGTGGATCAGCTGTTTTGTGTGTAGACTGCTAAACTTGCGCGGGTATAATCAACGAGTGTTTGTTTTATAACTATAATAAAAAAACCTAAATTGCGCCCTTCCAGCAACTTCTCCCACTATTCCGCGCGGTTCTCGATGCCGGGCGCGGAGGCCAACCTGTACTACAGCTTCGACGTGGGCCCCGTGCACTTCGTGTCCATTTCTACTGAAGTTTACTACTTCACGGAGAACGGGCTCAAGCTCATCGTCAACCAGTACGACTGGCTCAAGAGGGACCTCGCTAACGCGGCCAAGCCGGCTAACAGGTTGGTAGTTTTATTTACTACTAGCTGACCCGGCGAACTTTGTTCCGCCTTAATGGCAATAAATAAGCAGACTTTTTTTTAATTTCGAACGGGATAAAAAGTATCCTTTGTCCTTCTCCTGGCTCTAAACTACCTCCCTGACAATTTTCAGCTAAATCGGTTCAGCCGTTCTTGAGTTATTAGTGGTGTAACTAACACGACTTTCTTTTATACAGGGTGTTTCTTGTAAGGTGTCAAGCCGAAGGCAGGTGATAGGTGAGGACTAGACCTATCGATTTCACCCCCATGTATGTTCTACGATTTTTAGTAGTTTAGAAGTTACCGTTAATTTTGTGATTTTTTCAAATTTCATGACCTAGTGGCTTAATTTTTTTTTAATCTTTTTTTTGGGTTGACTTTTCTCAGATTTCTTTTTTTTGACAGATTCTCTATTAGTTGCAGATATTTGAAAAAAATAATCACCTTCCTATCTTTGATGCAAGATACAAAATTTTTGCTAGAAACATAAAAAATATGCTTTTAGCAGAACATTCTAAAATTTTCAATTGAAATGTATGACAAAAAAAAAAGAATTTCCATAGGTTCAAAATAATTTTAAAAACTGCGCAGTTTTCTAAACTTTCATAATAACACAAAAAAACATGTACTTAACAGGCCATTATTTTCTGTAATCGCTCCACTAAAGTGGTAAGTCGGAGATTCCGTTACATGTTTTTGACTCTCTTAGGACTAAGTAATATTTGCAATCCCCTAAGTTTACGTTATGTAGAACACACAATCCAGCAGTTTCCAACTTTCCATCAGGTCAGATGAAGGGCAAGAGCTTCCACGTTGTGGATAAAAAATATCTTTTTAGTTACTGTCTCTAAATGTGCTCTACATAACGTAAACTTAGGGGATTGCAAATATTACTAAGAAAAATCGTAGAACATACATGGGGGTGAAATCGATAGGTCTAGTCCTCACCTATCACCTGCCTTCGGCTTGACACCTTACAAGAAACACCCTGTATATAGATTTACCAGTTTTATTGTTATTTATATTGGGTATTTGATACTATTAACCAATGAAGGCACACTTTAACTGCTCTAAAACACACAATCGAAAGTCCTGTAGCCACTGTGTAAGGCCGTTTGTTCAAGCTACGAAGAGTCACCGGGTCTACGCAAGAATTCGTCTCGTTTCCACCCGTGCTCCGGCGCTGACCAAGAAATAATTCTTGTCTGCGCTAGATACGACACGCGGCGCACGCGCACTGTGTGTCAAATTTTCGTAGCTAGGTCCGACGAAATTCTTGTCTTGTGTCTGCGGCAGACACGGTGAAATTTCTTAGCGTGTACAAGAAGCCTAATGCTGCAACTATTTTAAACAAATGTTTGCAGGGCCAAGCACCCGTGGATCGTGGTGTTCGGGCATCGGCCCATGTACTGCAGCAACAGCGATGACGTCGACTGCAGCCTCGAGTACACGCGCACCGGCTTCCTCGGCCTCTTCGGTATTGTACCTTATAGAGATGAGACGTACTCGTATTTACTAGAACAGATCCACACACTAGGTATTTTACAGTACTAGGCGGCACCTATTCCAATTTTTTAAATACTTGATCCACCTAGTATTTTATAAATTACACGATTTCCGACCCTATCTTCAAAGTAATAGAGGTTATTATTGCGTAATCCGTAGTCGTGTATTACGCGCACCTAGTATTTCTCGCTAAGCTTATGTGCGAACGTAGAGATTCACTCCGTCTCTGTCTGACCAAACAAATTTGAGCGCGACGAAGCAAACGCACACAAACGTAGTAAAACCATATTCATGTAAATAAGAAAAAATATGTAAATATTTTTATGAAATTGACATCTTTTAAATACGCCACCTTTTAAATTGACAGTCCTAAGCCTGTTGAAGTATGAAGGGAGGAATTATTATTCAATTTCAAATTGCATTATTCATACTACGGTTGTATCTTTAAAAAAAATTGTATTTTAAAGTCATATTACTTGGATTAGTCCGCACTAGTCGCGTCAAGTATGCTAAATTACTACGTACTAGGTGGAATAAGTATTTGGATCGAGTATTAATAAATACTAGGAATAGGTGCACCTAGTATCAAATTTACCTAGTATAACCCATCTCTAGTACCTTAACACCTGCCACTAAGGCTCAGTTCCCTTCAGCCGGGTACTGCAGCAACAGCGACGACGACTGTAGGAGTACACGCACCGGCTTCCTCGGCCTCTTCGGTATTGTACCTTAACACCTGCCACTAAGGCTCAGTTCCCTTCAGCCGGGTACTGCAGCAACAGCGACGACGACTGTAGGAGTACACGCACCGGCTTCCTCGGCCTCTTCGGTATTGTACCTTAACACCTGCCACTAAGGCTCAGTTCCCTTCAGCCGGGTACTGCAGCAACAGCGACGACGGACTGTAGCCTGGAGTACACGCGCACCGGCTTCCTCGGCCTCTTCGGTAAAATGTTCCTTATCATCTGCTGTTAAGGCTTGGTTTCCTTTAGCCGGGTACTGTAGCAATAGTACGGATTTTTTTTATGCAGGACAAGACAGGTTTATACCACTTTGTTCACCTGGTTGATGTCACCTGGTTTCGAGGTGAAATGAGGACACTAAAAATTCCACTTTCTTCGCTCAGGGTGAAGCATTTTATAAAAAAAACTACTCTTTCTTTTGTGTCTTGACTTACTTGACTTTCTTTTGTGTAAATTGCAATAATAGCTTAAATGATAAAAATATCATCAGGTGTGATTGTGGTCAAATACCTACTTGCTTTGTTCTGCATAAAAAAAATCAATTAATCTTATCGTAACTTGATAGCTTCCTCGCATTATTATGTTTTGTTTACTGGTCGCGTCTTTTATCAACGTTTTAATAATGTGTCAATCAACAAAGAATAGTACTTTTTATTTACTTGCATAAGTACTTCCATTACCACACTATTTGAGTACCACAAGTCTGATCTTAATTCGAACAGTGGGCTTAGCGTTCCATTTAAAGTTTTCAAAGTATACACCTATAAGTATCTACATTTGGAATAGTGCATGAAGTGCGACGCATCGTTATCTAAGTTTGTTAACCTGTGTATTATATCAATTGAACTCGAATATAAAATAGATGGTATTTAAGTTATATCTGGAATGTCTCCGACAGGCACTTACCAAATGTTGGTCTCGAAGCGCTGGTAGGGTAAAAAGATTATGAGACATGTCGAGGCTCCATAAGAGCAAAATATTTGACGATTTGTGCTTACAGCACTATAAATAATAGTCTATGCAAATAAATAAATTTTGACTTTGACAGGTTTGGAGTCTCTCCTCCAAGAGTTCGGCGTGGACCTAGCGGTGTGGGCGCACGAGCACTCCTACGAGCGCACGTGGCCGCTCTACGACAACCAGGTCTACAACGGCTCGCTCCAGGAACCCTACACCAACCCCAGGTCAGGAGAGGAGAGGAACTGGTCTGGCCTGCACGCGTGTTCCTATCATAGAGTTAATATTCCGTCGGAATAGAGCAACAACTACGAGCTGTCAAAACGAGTGTCAAGATTATTTCACTGTTTTGTAAAATAAATCAATCACCTATTCACCCCGTTTTGGAAGCACTACTTCTCATAAACATCCATAATTTAAGATTTTAATCTTTAGCGTTCCATTTCAACTAAAATCTGTCTGGTCTGTCAGTCTGCTTGTGACCACGGCTGCAGCATCGCAGCCGAAACGTCAAGCCGCAAGTACATAATGTCACTCATTAATAAACGTCGCGTTAAGACCCGTGTCTTACTATCCACAATTTAATTCTCGTAAAATCTGAAAATATATCAGAGTTCTAGTTTTCAGCGTGCCACTAAGTGCCTCTGAACTGTCAAATAGTTACAAAAAACGGTTCTGTTTGACGAAACAGCGACGGCATCGCGCATCTTTTTATCATACAGTGTTGCTGCTAGTGACATCTCTCTCGCTCAGTTCTTTGTTGCTCTATTCCGCTAGGTATATTAACTTTGTGGTCAGTAACAACCAGCTTCATTGGTTTAAGCTTGAGGTTATGCTGATAGCGTAAGTCAGCAGAGCGCACGAATGTAAGTACGTTACGTACTATCGGGGACTCGAACGCCTTGACACCTTAAGGGCCTAAATTGTTTGCACACACACGCTCGATTAAGCTCCGCCCCCGTTCATTCATGTTTCGGGTCTAAGCAGCGTCGGCGCATCACTGTAGATGTTTGCCCTAGCAAACCAAGCTCTATGTAAAGCATTTAGGATTGAGTATTGCTTATTACCCGCATCCGTAGCGCTCGTTTGGCAACGTCGCATTTTAGTCAATTTGAAACTACAAAATATTATATGAGGCTTCGTGTAAAATTTGAACTAGCGATTGCCCGCTCGGGTCACAAAATTGCTATCGCACATTCCGAGGTAACTATGCAATTTCCCGAGAAAAAAGTAGCCCTTTCTACAATTATTGTTGATATTATGAGTGTAAATCTCATGATATTAGTTTAGCTAGTTAGGGTGAGAAATACAAAATCATACAGTTACTTAAGAATTTTACTTATTTAATAGGTATTTAATTTATTCGGAACTTATAATTTAAAACAATATGTTATTGAATTAATTGATAAAGAGTTAAGGAATATTTGTGGCTTAAAAACAATTATTGTAAGATCTGGCTAAAACTTTCTTAAATCCTTGAATGTAAATAAAAACTTATAATAGGTTTCTATTTATTTTTAATGCATATTTTGTTTTCCGTTTTAAAGAAACACTTATCTACGTTATTAAAATTTAATATCAATATTGCACTAGGTAGCAATGATCCAGGTAATTGGTTATCGTAAATATTATAATATTAAGTTAGTTTTATTTCAAATTCAATTTTTTATTGCACATTAAGTGTCTTTACACAAGGTCTTAAATCAATAACAATTAAACTTCAAACTAAATAATACTTAAACAGTTAACAATGTATAGATAAGTTTGTAAGTAAATATAAGAATTATTTTGAGAGGCATGGTTCAGTAATCGAGCGGAGGTCAATAAAAAGGCAATCAAACAGTCCAATTACTAGCACGGGTCAACACAAATCAATCGGTTATTGATCACGAAACTTCACAAAAAAACAAAGGAGAGAATATGTCAACAGATCGCCAAAGCAAAAAGCATACAGACCTCGTATAAAAACACACTATAAAAAAAATACATATCTATTTGTTTGTAACCAAATTCTATTATTAAAATTCTAAGGCTGAGTTGCACCATCTTACTTTAACTTTAACAAACGTCAAAATTCTGTCAAACTCCATACAAAAAGCACCGGTTACCGTTATAGCTACGGTCAAAGTTAGGTGGTGCAACTCAGCCTAAAACTAAGAAAGATTGAAGAAAAAGAAACATTTCGTTTTAAACCCTAACCGTATGACAATAAAGTGCACAATGGTATTTCGTATTGCAACCTAAGCCCTGATTGTCTCTTATTGGTCGTAGTAAAAATATAGTAAAATGCGTAACCAATTAGAGACGGGGTGAGCACGTGACCGGAGTGATGCGCTTACGCTAAAATTTCTACAAAGTGGTCAGGCGGAAGAGTCCCCGATAGTACATGATGCGCCGCATTGCAATGCCGACGTCAGTAATGCGTTTGTTGCCGCTCGGTGGCATATCGTTCGCGACCAAAGTCAGGATATGGGAAATTAAGCCTTTAGGCCACGTTCAAACTGACGTATTGTCCGCTGCCGACTCTAAGGGAATACAATTCTCATTCTGACTGAGGACGCGTTACGCAGTTTATTGACTTTTCCGTATTTAACATCTGGTTCTCACCGACCTGCAAACTTGTAGGGAACGGTCGTGAGCATTCTCACAATCAATGGTGGACAATACGATGACATGAACGAGGCCTTACAGTCGCGTGATTGTCAGCCTTGACATTTCCGCGATCGTTCCTTTCTGCTGACTGACTCGGTGGGACATTATGATTTGCGACGCTCACGCTTTTTTGGCGGCGTGCGGTTCTGCGGCACATAATGCATTACATTTGTTACCATCGTACATAATCTATTTTTCATACTAACCCTTTACGGTCGCTCCCGGATTTCGAAAATACATCTATAATGACTAATCTTATAATGGATACTTATAAACGTGTCGTATTTCAGCATATTTATGACCTTTTTGGTTTATTGCGTTCTTGTGTGTTCTTTTTAATTGGTAGAATTAACAAACCGTGTGGCCTTGGCTGTTAGATTAAGTATGATATTTTAAGGCTAACCAGCGAGACTGCTCATTTATTCGTGTTCAGGTAAATATAGCAAACTTATACTCATAACGCTTTTATATTTCAAAATTCAAAAAATCAGCAGTCTTCACAAATTCAATATAGCTTTTTGCTCACTAACAACTTGCCTGTGACATATGAAGGCTGAGTTGCACCAACTTACTGAAACAGTAACCGGAGTTTTTTGTATGGAGTTGACAGATTTTTGACGTTTGTTAAAGTTAAAGTTAGATGGTGCAACTCAGCCTAATAGTTTCACTAGAGCTGAGATTTGAATGCAAGTGAGAAGGATTTTGACTATTGTCAGTTGTCAGCTTTAATGAAACGTTTTATACGGGGTGTCTTCTAACGCTAGACGCACTTTGGGGACTGTTTGCTTTCAAGCCGATTGGCAACCACTTTAACTTTTTATTTACTGTTGGGTTGGTCTTTTGGAGTCTGGATAAAACTTAATGTCCTTCTTAACACATAATACCTATAACATGTAAAAATTCGTCTGGCGTTAAGCAAGTGGCCCTGTAGTGCATGAGAGCGTAATATTAGGAATGTTCCTGTGTTTTAGGGCTCCGGTGCACCTGGTGACAGGGTCTGCGGGCTGCAGGGAGGGCACCGACGGATTCAAAAGTGAGTGTTCAAACTTCAAACTTCTATTCAATACAATTTAAATAGAGACCATGTTTCTCAACGCAATATTATTCAATACATTAATCATGACACTCCCTAGATTTTTAGGTCACCACTTCCCTTAGATAAAGATATTCACACATTCGAGTCCGTAGTCGCATTACTTTTTTTATACTAAAACGATTTTTCAGAAAACGATCACGAAGATTATTTTATGTACCTACTTACCTGATTCCTTAACGTGGGAATGCGATTACGAAATTGAAGCTGTTACTAATGTGCCATTATTGGCATAGAACTAATTAGTTAACTTTGTTGGTTTCATCATTGTCAATGTATAAAGGATATGTCATCGTCATTAACATAGGAAAAAGGAGAAGAATGAATTCGTTCGTTCGTTACATTCAGCCAAATGACGTCCACTGATGGACAAAGGCCTCCCCCAAGGATTTCCACAATGCCCGGTCCTTAGGCCGCCCGCATTTAGGCACTTTCCCCTTTAATTAATTTTTTTTGAAGATTTTAATGATTTATGCTTTATTTCCAGAGCACCCGATGCCGTGGTCGGCGTTCCGCTCGCAGGACTACGGCTACACGCGCCTCGCCGTGCTCAACCGCACGCATATTTATATCGAACAGGTGCGTATATTTATATTTGCATGTCATAGGCTGTCATGACTAAATAGGTCTTTAGCACAGAATAAGTAATAGTACAGGTACAGAAGGATTACTCCGCAAGACGATTTAAATAAATGCGAGTCTTGCTACGACGCGATACAGTGGAATTCAGCTCGCACAGCACTACGTACCTACAATTTTATTCACCTACAAGTTTTGTCTCTTTCTATCGCGTGACTCAATTTGTTTTCAACGCTTCAAACAAGATTTTGAAGCTACGAGAAATATTTATTTTTAAAATCACAATAACGAGTTGAATATCGTGTGTTATTGGTTATTTGCAGGTGTCGGTTGAACACGCCCTCGGCAAAGAGGCGGGAGACATCATTGACTCCTTCTGGCTCGTGAAGGAAAAGCACCAGCGATACCAGCCATGGCCCTAACACCACTGAGAACAAATACGACAGGCTATCTGTTGATAGCGTCCTTATTGATATTTGGCCATATTTTTAGTAAACTAGACTTATTATTAGATATTAACCAACCCACTAACACTTATTCTGAAAGAAAAATGGGAGAGCTGTGCAATTAAAAAAAAATGAGAAGAAGGTAAAGGATCTTCTTAAATGTGATAATGTTTCAATGGTTAGTTCTAATTGTGTTCTCACTGTTTCAAATCGAATGCATTTTATATTCGCACCAGTGATAAGTAAGTGATATTATATTATATTCTAGATCTAAATCATGTGGTAAGGCTTACCAAGTTTTGAATCTCATTTCCATACACTAAAATTTCTTATGATTTTAATATGTATGTATATTCCAAAGAGTGTGAAGACCTTTTTCTTGATTTTACTAAAGTCTTAGTGTACCTAGATATAACCATCAGTTTCATTACAGTGGTCTACGGGTATGGAATACATATTAAAAGGGTTACCGACTCAGTTGTTGTTTTCTTACGGCGTGTAGGTCGCTCAATGGGAGTTGAGGCCATCAACACAAAGATTTGTATCTGGCTACACTGTCTGCGTTTACGTCTTGCACGGTCGGTCTAATAATAAGTGCTATCCGTCTCGCTTGCAGACATTTAATAAGAGTGAAGTAGCTAATTTGACCTTGAATATGTTATTAACCGACTTCAACAAAAGGAGGAGGTTCCCAATTCGGTTGGTATGTTTTTTCTGTGTCCTGTATTCGAATATTATATCAGTGTGAGTACGCATTCGCCTCACTTTCGTTGAGCAACCCATGCCCACACTTTAATTTAATTTTCCTTTCAGAAATCGAGACCACTCAATATCCTAAACTTGTATTCCCATTAAAGAAGATGTATGATTTTATTCCTTTTATTTAACCTAGAAGAAAAACATGAAAATGTCGATTCTGAAACTGATGAATGATTGTTGATGGCGTAGGGCTCCCGTGCACCTCGTGACGGGCTCGGCGGGCTGCCGCGAGGGCCGCGACCACTTCACACGTAAGTTGGGATAGTTTACATGTTACTTTATAAATACATTTGCGCTCAATTTTTAGATTATATTATACAGGTAACCTTCTTTTTTTATTGATGTGACTATACAAGTTGCGATTAAACACAAACGCGAGTTTGCATGTAAATTCTGTAAGGCGTCCTATAATCTGTAATGGTGTCTTGTACTCTAATTGAATAGTGTAGCCCAATTGTTCACTTTTTTAACAGACAAGCCATCCGAGTGGTCAGCATTCAGGTCGCAGGACTACGGCTACACGAAGTTCAAAGCATTCAACAAAACTCATATCAACATTGAACAGGTGAGGAACGTTTAACTCTTAATTCAGTGTCGTTTACTATTTACCCGACTGCGCAAGAAGGAGGGTTATGCTTTTTCTATCTAATGTTTTATTATTTGATTCCAGGTTTCAGTAGATCTTGACGGGCAGGTAATAGACGCGTTTTGGTTGATCAAAAACAAGTTGTCCTTTAACAATAAATAAATTGTTTTAAACCTGTTGACCAGTACATAGTAGTGAAGCTAATGCTGCACATGCACATCCTCTATCTGTGTGCACATGGCCATAAATGATCTATGTCATCAACTAGTCACAAGTGTTTTAGGATTTTAACTGTGTTGGTTATGCCCCTAGTGGTGTAAAGAAGTAGATAAGTGCTTTGTAAAAAAAATACCTAAGAAATTGCTATCAATCAAAATACTTTTATGACAACCTGAGTGGCATAACATAATATCTACATCCACCCATCCACCCCTCTCTCACAGCAAAGATTGGGCAACAGAGACAGGTTGATTTGTCTTTAAAACAAAGTAACATTCGTGAAAAATTAAATTACTGCATTGTTTCACATAAGCAAATACCGTACATGAAATTGAATTGAATTGGTCCAAAACCTATGTTACTTTGTTTACTTTCGTGGAAATTTGATATCAACCTCACTGAATGCCTAAAATACATAGGTACCTACATAATGAATAAAAACACCAGTTATCTTTGTTAAATTGTTTTACTTTATTTCAATAGTTATTTCTATGAGACCCTTTTGTCAATTACAATTACTTTTAAAAGCAAACCAGAATCACATTTTTTACTCGACTTACTAGTGAAATAATACCACCAATGCTGCTAACTTGACACATCTCGATAATACCAATGTATTCCTTAATGTAACTATTACTATAAGATTGAACACAAATATAAGAGAACAATCAATTAATATTCTATTTCTTTTTCTGCTTTTTAATTAGCATGTATAAGTTTGTCAAGCTTGTATTTAAGCTTCTTTTACTATTTGAGGGGACAACAACTGCAGGCTCTATATTGGAATCAGGAGTATTATTTGTTTCTGAATTAAACTCATCTGAATGGTTAATTATGTCATCATCAACATTTGATGTGCCTGCACATGTTTGCGCGTCAGGAACCTCCATGTTGGTGGGTGACGATATGCTTTTATGATTTTCATTGTTGGACCCAATGACCCAAATAGGTGGTGCTTCATTTTTAGAAGCTTTATTTTTCTTTTTCTTTTTGTTTATGGATATTATTGGTTTCTTTGTCAAAATATCTCTAAGAAATTCTTTGCTTTTATTCTCATGATATATGTTTGAAGCAAACTCTATGTGCAATTGTATGGTTTCTGCTAATTTTGATGATATAGCTGAGGTACAGTTTCTATTGTGTTCAAATGGGTCCTGAACACATATCATTGTATCTATTTTCAACAGAGCAACTTGTTTATTATAAACATTTTTCTTGTACACCTCAAAATCATTAGGAGTATTTTCTATATCTTTAAATAGTTCACGGCGCACAGATTGACCTAGGAATGGTGAAATAACATTGTCTTTAAAATTGAAAGAGCTGTAAAACTGGAAAAACTCTCCCAGGAGTTCATATAGAACCTGATTGTTTTCAGTTTGGTGAATATATTTTTCTTTAAAATCAGTATTCCAGCCTTCAACGTAAAATGAATTGTTGGGACTCTGCAGTTTTACAACAGCAGGTATAATCTTTTTCTCTTGCAAGTAGAAAAGCACTAACATTGTCAAGGCATAATTTGACATTCGGTTTGTTCCTGTTAAGCCATGGATATTCGCCCAGTACTTGATTAATATTGCTAACGGCTGTGCTCTTTTATCTAAGTGCAGCAAGAATGCTATTAGCTTGCTATTCCTCACACCAGCAGGGCTTTTAAAACTGACATCGCAGTTGCGGCGAGTTGGCACGTGACAAAACTTCACTATTGGAACTTTCGCATTAGTGATTGCAAATGGCTGATGGAACACCAATGGCTGTCTTCTAAGAACTTTCTTGGCCGACAGCACAAGATCTGCTTGGTCCTGCTCATAATTATTATGCTCCTCTGGTATGAAAACATAGCAATCTACATCACTTGATTTGATTCCTAGACCAGTCACAACTGAACCAAATGGCATAACTTTACAACCTGGAAAAGTACAATTTAATTTAGCTCTGGTTATGGAACATCAAACTACATTTGCACCTAATGAGTAGAATATTGTATGAATGCGATATTTACCTAGCCAAATTCTCTGTAGACATCTTTCCAGGTCAATAAACAGTCTCCTAAAGTCGTCAACTTCTTGTCTTGTTAGTCTTATCGTTTGTAAGACATGATTTACTTGGGAATCAAAATCTCCAACAAAATCTAGTTCATTTGGACTCACCACTGAATCTAAAACACATATTAATAAAATTACAATATTATTGCTCTCTATGTACAAATTTAAGTAATCAATGCAATGATAATTACCTGACCCCATAGTTTTATATCAAAAGTAACCTATATTTTTTAAAATTTAGACAAATCAAAATTTACAACATTCATTTTATTCCGTGTTATACATTTAGTTATGTACTACATTTTATTTTAATTATTATACAATATTTAAGTAATATTGATGTCAAAATTCAATGTTATTTTATAGTAAAAGAATACAAAATAGCCGATTCGTATTTACATGTACACAACAAAAACATCGTGCAATTGTCAGATTGACAGTGACTTTCTTTTTTTTTTATCAAGGCATAGGCTAAGGTGAGAGGTTTCTTCTTGACTATGGATATGTACAAGTATGGTTTCTGAACGAAAGCGGTGGCGCGAATATACAAAAATAAAACTGGCCCTGCTGCCTTTTCACTAAAAAGTAGTAAGGATTCTTGTCTGCATGTGTAATAAAATAATTCTAATAAAAACATAGTCGTAGAAAAGTAAAAACAGGAATACAATTGAACGCTACATTTAAACAATAAACAGCACAATTTTTTATGTTCTTCAATTTTAACATTTTACATTCGATGAAGTATTTTATTTATCGGAATATTTAAATTTTAATAGTAAATTAATTGGAACGATGATACGAATTAATAAAGTACAAAAAATCCTAAGAAAAAGCGTCAAGGCCAGGCGGAACAAATTGAAACATACAAAATTAAAATAGGTTTCTATAAACCACAATAATGATAAAAAAAACAGAACGTCTTAGCTTATCAATAAAATAATCTGTATTCACTATATCTAACGATGGATCGATTCTTCAAGCCGGCTACGAGCCGCTCGATGCGAAGCCGGTGTCAGACGGCGTCGGGCGGCGCGGGTGGGTCAGGGTGAGCCCGCGAGGCGAGCGTGGCACGCGTGGGCAGCAGCGCGCGCGGGAAATACTCCTCGTCGGAGTCCTCGGGCAGGTCGCCGGCTTCCAACATGGCGACGGTGTCGGCGATCTTGGCCGCCGTGTCGCGGTCCGGCGGCCGCGCGTACGGCCGCAGCGCGCTGGAACGGTACGTCACGTTTTTTTTTTTCTAACAGGTTTAACGGCTTCGGATAGTATCCTTACGGCCAAATCTTTAGTGAGATAGGTACGACGCGTTGAGTCGCGGTGGACACTACTTTTTTTAAGACTTTTCGTGGCCTTAAAAATAGCTCCGTCGGCCGAATCGATCGAGTCGCGCTCGAGTTTTTCGGCGATTCGATTGACGATTACTTTTGTAAATAAAATCGAATCAATAATATCTTTTAGGGGGCGTCCATTAATTACGTGAGACAATTTTGGCAATTTTTCAACCCCTCCGCCCACCTTGGTGAGATTTTTCCAGACCCCCTCCCCCTCCCCACAATCTCACGTGAGATTTATTAAAATACATATTTGTAATGTAAATGGATAATAATTATCTATGCTTCGATTAGGATTTTAAAAAAAATCTGTTACTTCTAATTATTTATTGTTTAGACGGTTTAAAATAAAAAATTTAATAATCATTTATCAATAACGTCTTAAAATGTATTTATTTCTTTAATTTAAAATAACCAAGATTTCTCGAAATTTGACCCTTTTTCTTGCTGAAAAAAATTACGTGATATTTGTCGAGACACCCCCTCTGCCCTACGTGAGATTTAGTGAGGTTTTTCTTGACCCCCCCCTAAACGTTTCACGTAATTAATGGACGTCCCCCTTAGAATTAAAAAAAATCTCAATTGATAAAAAAATAACGTAATAATACTGTTTGTAGACAGAACGATGCGTACCAGAGGAACCAGCCCTGCATCATGGAGATGAAGAACTTGCCGAAGTCGCGGAAGGCGTTGGCGTCGCCGGCGGCCAGCCGCACGCCCAGCACGGCGCTGGCCGGCTCGGCGCTGAACGTGATCGTCAACTGGAACTGCATGCTGAATATGTGCTGCGGAAACCACACACCAGGTTAGGGCGATACAGAACGTATTTACTACCCGTTCGCGCTAAGTATGCCGGTCCGTGGAATGCGCGTCCCTTCTCCCAACCGCGATTAAACGCAATGAGGGTTTTCGCGATTGAAAAATCTGCCAGATGGCAATACGTAGACGCGAGGTCCAAATGCTGCATGATTGGTTGTTTTTGACATTACATTGACAGATATGTCAAAATCCACTAATCACGCAGCATTTGGACCTCGCGTCTACGTATTGCCATCTGGCGGATTTTTCAATCGCGAAAACCCTCATTAGCTAGTGATTAAACGCAATTATAGCCTGACCAGGAACATAAAAACCCTCGCCATGTTGCGGAAAACTAATGGTACTAATTTCTTTTAATGGCAACAGTAACTGAAAACTTCATTGACATGTCACCTTGCATGTCAGTCTATTGTTGTCAAAGTGTAAACAAACTTTATTTTAAATGTGTGCAATTGATTTTGTGAATTAAATTGCTAAAATATTTTTATAGTCGTGAAAGAAAAGTGGTTCACGGTGTGTTAATGTATTTGTCGAAGAGAAATACTAAGGGTTCGGACAATATTTTCATTGAATAATGTTTCCGACAAAGGTTGTCAAATTGACTGACATGTTTATCGTATAGTACAGTCCACTATGAAAATTAGCTGTAGTCTGTTTCAACTACCCATTTTAAAGTTTTTTGTTACTTTCTAAGTTTTGAATTATATGGAATTGGGAAAGAAGTGCCGAGTTTGAAGCGTTCATGAGCAGACATTGCAGTTGAATATTCAAGTTCTGAATTTGATTATTGATGAATAATAAAATAAATCCTACTAGCTCGATTGATGGTTTATTTAATTTATTTAAACCAGATTACCTTTAATAATATTTTTCGTTCATTTATGAAAATATCAAATTAGCCCGTAATCCTGAATCCTGATACATAAATTTAGCCTATTAATTTAACACATGTACGACTGTACTCAGTGTTGCACTATCAAATGCAATTGAAGCGCCTCTATGCCAGGGTTTTTATGTTCCTGGTCAGGCTATAATATGTGTTATTTTACGCAAATACACAATTTTTATCAATAATAATGAATAAAAAATATTTTGAATATACATAGTTTGTTAAAGTTATAGACGCTTTCCTTCGAGTGACGTCATATCGGATAGTCCAGGATCAGTTTTAGCCCAGGCGCAGACTACAGACTTTTTGTCAACCGATAGTTGGGTCGGGCTGTTAATCAGTATGAACATGATGAAAGTGCGCACATTGTACCGATTTGGTATCAGCCGATTCTTCATACAAATTATAATTAGGCCTATCGGCCAACTAAAAAGCCGGTGGTCTACGCCTAGGTTTAATGTATTCGACGGCACCGATTACTGTCGTGTTTTTGAACCCGTACGATTACATTAATTATGTCATCACTAAGTAAAAATATAATTATGTATACGCAATAATGAGTCTGCGAACACAATGCAGATAAACGCGTTGACGTTACTGTCCACAGCAGCGTAGCATACTAGACGTGTATTTATCATTTACGCTCGCTCACATTGTTTTGTGTGTAAGCTATTAGGTACACCAAACGTACACAGTTGCGTTCACGTCTAGCATGCTACGCTCCGTATACTGTCCATTAGCTCACCTGTTTCTCTAATCTTAAAATCTCGTCTGTGATCTCTGTCTGCTTTTCTTCAAAAGACATGTCGATCATGCTGTAGAGCCGCGACAGCTGCTTGCGCTTCCACACCGGCTTCGTGATCGACCCCATGTACTTTTCCTTAACTTTCTTGGTATCGAGGTTCACCTTCTCCTCAACCTTGCCGAGTTTGATCCGAAGCATCTTCTCGAAGATGACGAACACGCAATCCCGCACTATCGGCTTCCAGTCGGGATCGATAATCGTGACGATGATGCGCGGGAATAGATTCACTCGGTACTCCGGGTTGGATTTGACGCGCGCGAATTTAGGTCGCTCGAGGAGCAGCTCCCGTAAAAAGTTTTTGCAGCCGGTGGCTTTGTCTTTCTCGTAGGCGTTGGCGGCGAACTTCAGGTAGGCTTTGATCTCGGCGGCGAGCCGCGGGCTGACGGCCGAGGCTACATTGTGGCTCTGCTCGAACGGATCCTGAACGCAGAATGAGGTCGATGCCCGTAGAGGCAACGCCCGTCCCGCGAGAACATTAGCCTTGTATATCGCGAACTCGTCGGGCGCGACGCCGGCGGGCTCGAAGGCCTTTTTATTGACTGCCGTGCCCAGGTACGGGCACACGATCATCTCCTCGAAGTTGAACATGGAGTAGAACTCGAAGAACCCGCCGATTAACTCCGCTATCGTTGCCGTGTTCGTGCTCGGCGGTAGCGAGTCCTTGAAAAAAGAAAAAATATATTTGAAAACTTTAACGGATATGCTATTGCAATGGAGGGCTATTATTGTATTTACCCTCACCAGTTGGCATCACCCACTGTAGAGTAAGGTTCTGTCACTCGCTAGTGACTAACGCCCGTATTCATAAACTTTACTATGAGGTTTTACAGTGCGAGTGGAAGCATAAACATATGAACCAATCACAGAGCTCTATTGAACGAGCATCGTTTATGAATACCGGCGTAAGACAGTGATGCCAACAGTGAGCAACAACTCCTGAATCTATAGGGGGATTATCGCACCGTATTCACTTAAGTGGCGTCACTGTAGAATAAGATCTTGTCACTCGCCAGTGCTGCAGTGACGTTAAGAGAGCTTTCACATATAGGCGTTTTTGTCGCGTACATATTATAGTGTCACAGCTGCGCTACATAATATGTATGGATATGAGCATATTTGTTTTTTGTTTTTCTTTCCTGCACTAGAAGTACCGCCAAACAAATTTCTTTTCTGCTCAACCCAAAGGAAACTGGTCGAGAATGCTTTAGTGCATTAAGTTCGCCTTATGTACAAATTTATTTTGGCATTAAAGTTTAAATAAATAAATAAATATGTGAAAGCGCTCTATCGGTGAGCTCAAATTGGGGCTGTACAAACTTGAGATTTGTTATCATTTGATCACTGAGGCCGATGCTGTTGCCTGTTTCCCAGGGTTCCGCACGCACCTGCGAGTCGTCGAAGCCGGTGTTCCAGCCGTCCACTAGCCGGTCATGCTGAGGGTCCCGCTGCAGCCAGCGCGCCGGCGGGAGCAGCGCGCGCGGCGGCTGCTGCAGGTAGAACAGCATCAGCATCGTCAGCGCGTAGTTCGTCAGCTTGCCCGTGCCGGAGAACTCGTGGACCTGGTGGTCGATACGATTTTTATTTACTGTTCAAAGGTTGGAAAGATCGTCCATTTTAGTATGCACAGTTTACGCGGGAGACAGTGGTTGTAGGTCAAAGTGATAAATGTGAAAATTATGAATAATCGCCGGTTATTATGAATAATTACCGCATGATTTGGTAAATGTGATTAATATGAGGTCATTTATGTGTGTATAAAACTAAATAGGCGCCTTAGGGGTGGCCCAAGGGCCACCCCCGCCGCACCTTAATTTCACTTTAAATCAAAACATTATGTTATAGGCATCATGGAAAAGTAATATTATGCAAGAAACATTCCAAACTCATTATGCCAAATTATATTAATATATGATATCAAAACGTTCAAAAGTTTGGCTGTACACGAGCACGTACACAAGATGTTGTTCTCTTTTATGAAAGTTAGTACTAAGGTTGAATTATCAAATAATCACTGTTAAATGTGATTAATTTATCACTTTTACCGCGACTGTCGGCAATTATTAATAACTAGCTTTCCGCCCGCGGCTTCGCCCGCGTGGAATTTTGTCTGTCACAGAAAAACTTTATCACGCGCGTCCCTGTTTCAAAAACCGGGATAAAAACTATCCTATGTTCTTTCCCGGGACTCAAACTATCTCTATGCCAAATTTCATCAAAATCGGTTGCGAGGTTTAAGCGGGAAAGCGTAACAGACAGACAGACAGACAGACAGACAGACAGAGTTACTTTCGCATTTATAATATTATATTAGTTGGGATAACCGGTTATTATTAATAATTTTCAATTTATCACATTAACCGTAACAGATACATAAAAATAATAAGGGTGTGATAGGAAGGAAGCTGCGCCCAGGTCACCTAGGGCAGCAGCGTTAGGACGGCAGGCAGGCGGCGGGGACCCGCTGCCAGCCCGGCACACAGGATGGTCAAACAAAAAACAAAAACTCAAATGCAACAATTTTCCTAAAGATAAAATATTAAAATTCTCTAAAAAAATATGCTATAAGCTATACTACTTGGCTGATAAATAGATGACAATAATTTGTATGTTTTTTTTTTGTTTGAACTTCCTTCTTTTTGTTGTATGCGAAAGTTGTTGTACATATTTGAACAGTAGAATCAATTCTTTCCACCGACAGGTGTCACCCCGTAAAGAAGTATAGCTAGAGATTATGCTGTGAAATTGGGATTAAAATATCAAGAACTTCAAAAAGTTTCATAAGAGCTATCTAATCGAATCAAAATTGCAAAATAGTATTGAGGCTGACCTTGGCCCAGTACTTGATGACGACGGCCATGGGAATGAGGCGTGGGTCGGCGTGCAGCAAGAACGCCACCAGCTTGCTGTTCTGCGCGCCCAGCGGCGTCTTGAACGTCAAGTCGCAGTTGGTCTCCGTCGGCACGTGGAAGAACTTCACGATCGGGGTGTTCGCCCGAGGGATGGACAATATCTCGGAGAACACATCGGGATACATTTGTAGGATGCGTTTAGCTCGCTGCACGAAATTGATCTGCGGGTTGCGGAACTGCGCGGGAATGTGCACGAAGCAGTCCGCATCGCTTGTGCGCACGCCGAGGCCGGTCGTGATGGAGCCGAAAGGGATGGCCACGCAACCTGGAATCGAGAAACTTCAGTTATCCTACAATGATAACATAAGAAAAACATTATTCAGCATACAAAAAACAAAAGCTAACAATCTATCTATATAAATAAAAATGAATTGCTGTTCGTTAGTCTGATTAAAACTCGAGAACGGCTGGGCCGATTGAGCTGATTTTGGTTTTAAAATGTTTGTCGTAGTCCAGGGTAGGTCTAAACGGTGAGCAAATAAGGAAAAATTGCGACGGCTTATTTATTGCCTTTAAGGCGGAACAGAGTTCGCCGGGTCAGCTAGTACATAATATAAATACATTTCTTAAAATGGATCGGAGGAGGATCAAATGTGGCTGTGAAGTTGAAAAATAGCTATATGAACAGTTGAGTGGCGTGGTTTGATCACCGCTATAAAACTAAGAGGACCTCTCGATGAGATCGCATTGCTGGAGATGCCTATAGACTCGTTAACGTAATTTTACAACCGTGATGGTGTCACGAGAGTGGATTCCTTCGAGACCAAGCGTAGCCGTACCAATTTTATACAGACGGGCCGAAAAACGTAGTGTGTAGAGTGGGCAGGCCTTCCACCTCGATCTAGTGAAGGTTGAAGGATGCTTTGCTTCGTCCTGGATTAGGATAGCGCTGGAACAGTCGTTGTGGAAATCGAAAGTGGAGACTCGTAAAGCAATGGAAGTCATTTGGCTGAAACGAGCGAATGAACACTTCACAGCCGTCATGGGATCATGAGGAAAGATTTCTCTTGAGATCAAGTCACCTCTCACGTTCTAACGAAGTAAAGATGGCCGCCAATTGTTCCGTGCTTTACAGATGACCCACGCTGAACTGTCCCACCAAACTCAATGACAGGGGGGCGCTACCATCGTTCAACTATATGGTTTCCAACATGGCAAAAATCGGAACCAGCGATCCGGTATTGACGGTGGCGCCCCACTGTCAATGTCATCGATAGGACAGTTCACTATTTTGGAACTATATTAGTGCTACTCACCCGGCCATGTGGGTTGTAAGGCGCGCTCCACATCTGTGTAGAGCGTAGAGAGCTTGTTGACGGCGTCCTTTGACAGTCGCACAGCAGCCAGCAGTCCCTCCAGCTGTCTGTCAAAGTCCCCACTAAAGTCCAGCTGCTTCGGGTCGTACGGCATAGCTGGAACAGAGATTTACATTTATTTTTCTCGGCTTTAATCGGCGTGTTAACCTAAGTTGTTTCCCCACTCGATAGAAGATGAAGTCGAATCGAATAACAATGTGCAACACAGTTGTGTATTTCATATAATTTTAAAGTGGTAACGTTAGTTTTACGTCACGAGAGTTTCATGCCTTTACGTAAATCATTATGTTGCTTGATTGCGGTTTTCAATATGTTTACTAGATTAAAATACCTAATAGGTATAGTGTTACAGTATATAAATTAAAGAGATAATCTCACATTTCTGCTTGGTCCGTGGAAAGTCAAACTTGTTGATCATCGGGCGGTAGTTGAGGTCCGTATAGCGCTGGTCGGTGTAGGGCCGCACTGTCAGGAACTCGCCGTAGACGTTCACTCTCTTCGATTCCTGGGGAAGACAAGCGTATAAAAGAAACTGTAATAATCTATCTATCTATCTATCTATCTATAGAAATAAAAATGAATTGTTGTTCGTTAGTCTGATTAAAACTCGAGAACGGCTGGGCCGATTGAGCTGATTTTGGTTTTAAAATGTTTGTCGTAGTCAAGGGTAGGTGTAAACGGTGAGCAAATAAGGAGAAATTGCGATGGCTTATTTATTGCCTTTAAGGCGGAACAGAGTTCGCGGGGTTAGCTAGTATCAAATAAATTGAGTCGGCTACTAATATCTAGGAGTCACAAACGAAGTCTTAATTTTGGATATCCCAAAAATGGCATAAGCTTTTTGCCTTCTAATGTCATGTTCGTATTTTCAGGTGCATTGCTGTCGCCATTAATCCCTGCTTGTGTTACGAGTGGGTTTACTACAATGTTACTGGCGCTTTACATGTTACTGGCTCTCACCTGTAGGGCCTGCTTGGCCTCCTCCGCGGTGGGGTAGGACAGAATCGCGACCTTGTTGTTGATCCTGTCGACCTTAACGTTCCCGAACTTGGCGAACACTCGCAGTAGGTCTGGAGCCAGCGCGTACTGTGGGTAGCCTGCAACATGGCACTCCATTGTACCTACTTGTTTCGGGGACATTCGGGATTTCGGGTACACCACAAATAGAAGCACAACATCGATCGTCGCTATCTTAGCATTCAGGTAACGATATAAGTCATACAGTACTGTATACAGTTAATTACATTCGTATTTCGTATAATCCTACTCCGTTAAAACCAGTAAAATGGGTGTGTGGATAAAATAAATAAACATAAAAAACATTAAGGTATGAGATATGCCTTGGGTGTCAGATAACATGTTATGTATCAGACTGCCTGCCGTTTAATCCACAGAACATGGCGCATATTTAAATTACTAATGCAGACTCATTTATGATAGTGGGTTAGTGGCATCTTTTTCATTATTTTAACGCCATAATAATAGAAACGGAAATTTTCATGCAATGCACATGTAGGTATGCAAGCGCTCACGAATAATGTAAAAATAAAATTGAAAAATAAAAATTGTGATCATAATAAGCCACGACATGTAGTGATATCAAGTGAAATGCATTTTGAGCGCTTACCGAGATGAAAAAGCTAGCGAGACCTAGATGAATAGGTGCAGAAAAAATGATTGAATGATATACAAGAGTTTTTTTTAATTTAAAAAGTGGAATCCAAATATGCCTTCTTTATTAAGCTATTTAGGTGTCCAAGCAATCATAAAAAGTAGGATTGACTTTGACTTTTTGACTTTGACTTCTTATAGTTAGTAATTTCGTAAACTTATTGTTAATTAACCAAAACGATACGACTGTATTTTCAATTTTGTGATGATTGTAAAATGATGCCGAAAGTTCGGAAGACTTCTTGAAGAGGGGAGAAATTAATGGCTCAATACAAACTTAGAGCGTAAACGGAAACCCAGCTCAATAAAGGCTCTCGTAATGTCATCTCGTGTTATATTTCACCAAGTCGAGACTCATAGCTGAAAGGTTTACTCTAAAACACTTATAATTATTTTATTAATTTGATATTTCCGGCGCCTAGTTTCCACTAATCGTGCTTTATGGCCAGTTTAGAGAATAAGGGGCTCATTCTTATTTATTGCTTTTACAACTTACCAGTAACCAGTACTCTTTTCGGGTCTTCGATAGCAGACTCACGATCACCGTTGGAGCGATACCTGCGTTGGTTGTGTCGAGGGGAACCCTCATTTCCACGGCCATTCGGCCCTGAATTCCTAGGAGGCTGTTTGGCCGGGCCAGGAGTAGGGTTGCGGATAGGAGATGATGCGGGACCAACCGACTGCAGTGCTTTCCCGGATGTCGTGGGTTTACGTTTAGGAGACGCGGTCACAACCGGCGCAGCCGTCTTGCTAGGTGTGCTCGGTTTCGACCCTGAAGACGCCGAACCTGACCCACCAGGTGGCAAAGTAGGCGATGGAGCATGGGAACTCGACGAGCTTGATGATGCGGTCGGGTTAGAAGTCGTGGGACTAACCGCCTTGGGTGTCCGGACAGGCGGCGTAGCGGGGGTAGGTTCAGAAGTCACAGCACCAACTGGGAGAGAAGGCTTGTCTAGTTTGGTCGAAGAACCTGGGGAATTTGGCGAGTTTGGTGACACAGTCGCATTAGGAGTCGTGGGACTGACCGATTGGGGTGCCTGGACAGGCGCAGCGGGTTTAGACTCTGACGCCACAGTACCAACTGGTGCAGAAGACTGTCCTGGAGGAGGCGACGGACCAGGGGAACCTGACGAGTTAGATGATACAGCACGAATAGAACTCGCCGGACTGACTGACTGGGGTCTGACAGACTGGTCTGATGTAGTATTTGTGTTGGAGGCAGTTTGAGCGACTTTAATTGGCGACTGAGAGTTAGATTTTGAAGGGAAAGGCTTAGGGGCGGAGGGAGCGACCTTCGGTCCCAATGGCGTCGGAGCAAAGGAGGGTGATTCGACTTTGCGGGCGGATCTTGGGTCCGATGGTTCTCCTCCTGAAGCTTCCATGGTCACGGATATAGTTGTTCACCTGTAAATAAATTGTTTGATAAGACAACTGAAAGTAAAACTATTTTAGAAAAAATATAAAAAAAACAATTGATACATGTGAAAATGTGCAGGAATAGTGTTTAGACTAATGAGGAAATGCTTATTTACAAGAACCTTAGATAAGATAATTTTTACTCTTTTACAATGACATACAAAATGCCATAAAATATCCATTATTAAAAAAAATGTTTATGATTAATTATTAAATAATTATGTGAAAAATACCTAATTATTATAAGTTCCAACAATAATGTTAAAGGCACTCTTGCAGACTATTTATCACCATTGTTATCTTCAAAACACTTTGTGAGAATACTACCAGTCAATAAATAAATTAATACTGTCAATCAGAGTTATCACCAAGTTAATATTTGATTTGTTAATGACACTAATTAAAACTGTTTAGGAAAAGTTCTAGATTATGTTCAACCATTATGTTAGTCAGTGTAACAATGAAGTGGTGAAGTCACTATAGCTGATAGAGATGAGACGTATTTACTAGAACAGATCCACACACTAGGTATTTTACAGTACTAGGCGGCACCTATTCCAATTTTTTAAATACTTGATCCACCTAGTATTTTATAAATTACACGATTTCCGACCCTACCATCAAAGTAATAGAGGTTATTATTGCGTAATCCGTAGTCGTGTATTACGCGCACCTAGTATTTCTCGCTAAGCTTATGTGCGAACGTAGAGATTCGCTCCGTCTCTGTCTGACCAAACAAATTTGAGCGCGACGAAGCAAACGCACACAAACGTAGTCAAACCATATTCATGTAAATAAGAAAAAATATGTAAATATTTTTATCAAATTGATATCTTTAAAATACGCCAACTTTTAAGTTGACAGTCCAAAGCCTGTTGAAGTATGAAGGGAGGAATTATTATTCAATTTCAAATTGCATTATTCATTGTATCTTTAAAAAAAAAATTTAAAGTCATATTACGTGGATTAGTCCGCACTAGTCGCGTCAAGTATGCTAAATTACTACGTACTAGGTGGAATAGGTATTTGGATCGAGTATAAATAAATACTCGGAACAGGTGCACCTAGTATCAAATTTACCTAGTATAACCCATCTCTAATAGCTGATAAGGAGAGAAGTAGGTAGGTTACTTCAAGATAAATGGGGGAATTCCCTTGACTCCATATTACATGTTGCCAGAATATGAATGATTAGAATGAGATTTTATTTTATGGTAATTAATATGCTTGGAGCAACATGCTCAGATTTTACTAATTTCATAAGTTACATGTGAATTCAACTCACTACCGAAATAACATACCAGTGTTAACTTTAACAACTTTTGAAAAGTACTTTGGCTCTAAAAATCCTTTAGCATTGCCTGGAGTAAGTACCACTCCATTTTCAGACTCGTTGAATGTTATGCCATCGTTTAATGCCTTCTGCAGGTCAACGTAAATGTATATTTGAACGTTTTTTCTTAGTCCGCTGATAACAGTTGTGTCTTGAATGGTTCCTTTGGCTAAGTGTATGTGTTGTCTGTTCATGCGACTAAGGCCATCGGTCCTTATTTGGGGCCAGCATTTAAAGTAAGTTCCATGTACAATGGTGGAGTACTTTGACTGGAATGGTCGGTAGAGGAAAAAAAATTATGTTGGTTGTAACATAGAGTATTAATAAAATCCTATTAGACTAGCAGGTAATTTTAAAATGCAAGTAGACTTTACATACCTTTTGAGATATGTAATTTTTGGAAAAACATTTAAGTCCATTTCAGTAGGTCAACTGAAATTTCATTCATATAAAATTAAATAACAAAGAAAGAATTAATAAAATTCTGGCTAATAGGAATTATGAGAAAAACCTCTATTCACTAAGTCTAATAAGAAACTCACAGAGCACTAAGAAACTGGCCTATTAAAACTTGTATTTTCAGTAACAATCAATAAAATAAAATATTATTTGAAAGGAGATTCAGTTGCCATAACTCACCTCTAGAATAGGTATTAGTTCAGCATCAGAAACCTGTGCTATGGAGTGTCCCTGGTTGGCTTTGATCTCCAGGGCTCCGGTCAGTGGGTTGGATCGCAGCTTGAATCGCTGTTTGTCGTTCGTTTCAACAACTCTCTGGATGTCACTTCGGCTGTGTTTGCCTCTGATAGACTTGTGTTGAAGTATTGCGTTCACATCTACATATCCTTCAGGGCTATAAAATTTAATGACAAAGGTCAAATTTCTTTTAAGATTGAGTAACTGCTTTCTTTGTCATAAGTTCATGAAATATAAAATAAGAAGGTAGTTTCTAAACCACTTATGGAGAGGGTGAATCAAAGTTTAATTCGTTAAGTACAACCGTAAAAAGCATTTCAAAAAATGCCGGTTACGAATATTTTTTATCTTGACCTTCAAAATGATGCACATTTATACAATAAACTAGTAGTACCTGACAACGAGCCCCTCTCGCGTCGCGCCGTGTCGCAGCAGCCAGGACAGACACTTGCTCAACTGGATATCTTTATTATTCCTACAATAACCGAGGGTTATTATCGATCATCAAGCGTTTAACGAGCACAAACGACAATACATGTCTATAACCAATACATACAACAACGTACATCTAACTTACAGCTCCGAACAAGTGCCAATAGAAACACAACACGATATTTCACATTCAATTTCATAAAAGACTGATTATTTTATCTTGATTTAGTCGAAATTTTGGAATAATCAAAGGACCCAAAACAAAGGTTGTGTGATGTGATGTGAAATGTCGTTGCCAACCAACCAAGGCTGAACAATTTAATGTCAATATTGATTCGTTCAATAATCGGACAAACAATGTAGGAATAAAAAATAATGAATTTCGAAAACAAAGCAAAATAATAAAATAAATTTACTATACAATATATCTGCTAAAAGTTACAACTAAAAATATTTTATCTAAATAAATTCAATTAGTGTACAAAATGTTCAACATGTCCAAATCAATTTCCAAACAGCGAGCTTGAATGTTAATGCATAGAATGGAACGTACAAAGTGAAAACTTGATTAAAACAATTAATTTTTGTTATAAAAATTGTATAAAAAATATAATGAATGCAATTAAACGTGAATATAAATACAAAAAACCTTGAAAAGTAGATAAAAAAGGTAAAAATGTATAACTTTCAAAGTTCCTTTCTACGCAAGCTTTACTAAATGTGTAAGAAAAATCAATGAATTTGGAGGCATAGACTATGAGGCATAGAGTTAGGTCAGCTGACTTCATTTTTATCATTGGTCTTGTGATAAGTTGTGATTCTCCGCCATTCTCGGTTCGTCTTTTCCATCTTTCCCGTCCTGTGAGTTGGAATTTAGTTACTTATTTCAATAATTCTTGAAATACTGCTTTGTTTTATTAGTGTTTGTGTTATTTACTGTGAATTTATATAGTAAGGTCGATAATTTCGGTAAGATCGTTTTAGATTCTGCCATTGTCAATTTCAATGTAATGTCACGCATAAAACCTAGGTTTTGTATTTAGTTTTGAGGTAAAATGATTGTTATTTAGCTATATCCTGGTTGTTGTAGCATTGCGGGTGTGATTATATAGTCTTATGAAGTGATCCCGGTACTGGTCAGTAATATTGAAGAGTTACACCCATCATCATGTGACTGCTCATTAGACCTCAATCAATCATTGCATATATTCCTGCAGTGCCTATATCTTGCCGCCGCTGGAGTGTTTTTGAGATCGGAATGGGCATTTTACCTATCTAAACATCTTAAAAGCCACTTAATAGTTTCATGAAATTATTGATTTTCAACTCTTGTACAATATTTTGCTTGTTTTATATTAAATGTTGGCATTTTTCAGTCAACTACTTGTTCTACATTGTGTTACATAAAATTACCCAAGTAACTAATTTAGCATACAACTACAACTATCATAAATAGCGTATACATTTGTAAAAAAAACTTTTTAATCATGTGACCCTTTTTACCTAGTTTCAGTTTCATTGAAGTACTGTTGGTGATTATTATTTTATGCACACACGGTTCTAATACTTACCAATAAGTAATTCCTTAGATAAGTGTACTTTTTATTCTATTGTGTATTGTATAATTAATTATTATTAATTAATTAATTTAAGTTTAAAATCAATAATTGCATGCAAATATGTCTTTTATTTAAGTAGATACATCATTACTCTCAATACAGTATGTTTCCAGTACAGTGAGGAGACCAAGTTCTAAATAGGTTAATTATTCTATTATGTTAAAGTAAAGGACTGTCTAAATGCTTAAAAAAAGGTAGCTTCTAAAAATTGCTCAAACAATTGTTTAAAGTGCTATAAATCTTGGTACAGTATTTAATGGTAATTTTATTTAAAGAAAGTTCCCATGAAAAAATGTTATTGATTTAATCTTTTCATATCCATATCTGAACATGGTTTTTCGATGACATTGACAGATGGTCCTGGGCTTATCAGTTGCTGAGGCTGATACTAGCTCAGTCAGCTGATGAGCTTGTCTCTGGCAACACTGCTCTCTATTTATTCATAACATTTTCCAAATTAGTGCTTATAAATAATTGAATAAGGTAGTTTTTGTAACAATATAATTTTTTAATAAATGTTGTTATGCAATAAAGTTAAAATTCATGTGACTTAATATCAGTTGTAGTGGAACATATGTTTTCATATAAGTGTCTTAAGTGATTCCTGGTGGCTAATAATTCACTTATCCATAACATAGGTGGCTTAGGTGAAATAAATACTTAAAGAAGAGATTAACTTGTTTTAGTTAATCTAGGTGTTTTAAAGACATTGGTAGAATCTGAACCATTTAAGGGCAGAATTATGTTTATAACACATGCATACTTTTAGCTTTCTTGTTTCTTTTCTTATAGTAAACACTTGTGACTTTTTTCATGGCTAATAACATTTTTTTGAATTCCAGAAAAAGAATACAAATTCAAAATGGCGTCGAAGGGCGGCTTGAAGACGATCGCCAATGAAGAGAATGAGGAGAAGTTCGGTTACGTATTCGCCGTGTCCGGTCCCGGTTAGTGAACCCTTTTATAAACCTTTGTTAACCTTTGCTTAGTAAAACAAAAAATAACCATTTGAGAAACTGTCCCTAATGATTTGTATTAGATAGCCTCTTGTTTCCCTTAGTCATTATATCATCCATGGCCAACTGCTTTAGGAGTATAATATATTCTAGATTCCATAAAACTTGATGAAACGAATTTCAAATTAGTTAGGGAAGTAAGTCTATTAAAGATGTAATTAACATGTCTATGGTAATGTAAAATCCTAATTTTCTGATCCATATTGTGTTAAATTGAGCAAAATGATTGTACATTTAGTTTGGAAGTCTGCCAAGTTCATTATGTGCAATGTAATAAATGTTTGTTAGCGTTACATGCGCATTTTATGCGTAGTTACTAGCTTTTATAGGGGGTCCATTAGAAATTTAGATGAAGTGGACTTAAACCATAAAATATTGCATCCACTTATCAACTGGAGTGGGAACAGTTTCCTTTGCAACTGGAGTGGGAAGATGGTTTTGTAACCATTTAACTTTAAATGGTTACAAAACCATCTTTTATATTTCAAGCAATATTTAGATTTTTTCTATTTTCGAATTAAGCAATCCTGAGTATTCTCTGAGGCTTAGAGTCTAAGCAATACAGTAAAACCTTGGTTTTCCTAAATTTTAGGAATGAGCCTGGCAAATGGGAATTGCTTTTTACGGCTACTCCAACTTTAATGTGATTGTCACAGTTTCTGCAAGCTTTATTAGCAGTGGTTTTTGGAAGCATAACATAATAATCAACAAATAGATTGATGTGGTACTAAGAATTGTGTTGTTTCGTGAATAGTCGTGACGGCGGAGAAGATGTCGGGCTCGGCTATGTACGAGCTGGTGCGCGTCGGCTACAACGAGCTGGTGGGCGAGATCATCCGCCTGGAGGGAGACATGGCCACCATCCAGGTAGGCCCCTTGCATGTTACACAGCTGGCAGTTTCCTCAACATATATAACGTCAACCTGTATGAACTGAACTGTTGAAAATATTAGACCACACCCCTTTTTATTTCGAAATCCTGATGGATGGTGTATAATGTTGACTTTTCAGGTGAAGTTTGTTCTGTAAACATCTATGCATTTATAAGAGGTCAAAGTGGGTATAATTTTTATTTATTTATTATTGAAAAAAGAAAAATATATGCATTGCTTACACATTGAATGTTTTACAATACCATTTCACACCTTTCAACATGACATTATTGGAAAGTCAATCTCTAGGTTATCATAAAAATAGCCTTATTTACTGTTAACAATGATTTCCTGACCTCTTCTCCAATTACATCACAATCACTTGCCCAAGTGAGAAGTTATCAATTGTGAAGGACCAGCGCGAGCTCCACATCGATAACTGGCGATAGGTGGCGCAGAACAGATCATATTGGAGATTCTTATAAGACTAAGACTCACTTGGGGTCGCTGTAGCATCATAGTTAATTTTTATTATCATCAACATCATCAACAGCCCTTTACAGTCCACTGCTGGACTATGAGCCTCCTCCACTATAGTGTAGGGTTTTGCCATAATCCCCACGCTTGGCAGGCGGGTTTTTACTATCACTGTAAATTCAGTGAACTGCTCCTGAATCGAATGTACCTACTACTGCTATGTTTATTTATTTATATTGACCGGCAGACAGTGATGACTGAGTTTGTTGCGGCGCTTCTTCTCAGCACTTGCCAAATGTTGGTCTCGAAGCGCTGGTAGGGTAAAAAGATTATGTGACATGTAGAGGCTCCTTAAGAGCAAAATATTTGACGATTTGTAAGAACTATTTAATGTCTACACAAATAAAGAAATTTTGACTTTGACTTTAACCTTCCCCAGGTATACGAAGAGACCTCGGGTGTGACCGTCGGTGATCCCGTGCTCCGAACCGGCAAGCCTCTGTCCGTCGAGCTGGGTCCGGGTATCCTGGGCTCCATCTTCGACGGCATCCAGCGCCCGCTGAAGGACATCAACGAACTCACGCAGTCCATCTACATCCCCAAGGGAGTCAACGTGCCCTGCCTGGCCAGGAACCACGACTGGGAGTTCAATCCCCTTAACGTTAAGGTGAGGATTCAACTGCTTTTTAAAACTTTATGGTTATATGTTTCAGCTGTTATACTGTGAAATGTCACGGTTAATAATGACAAAGTTAGGTAAAGAAAAGTTTGCTGATGGCCAAGTTGTAGATGACATATTAGTCTTTTTAGCTAATGTCAGTAATTATGAGTATCTTGAGGACGAAATAATAATGAATGTCCATAAATCGTCCTTGTGTAACCAATTTGTAACAATGGACGCCATTGTTAGTTACGTAACGTAACCCTGAAGACATTGATTTTTTAGATCGTATGTTCTAAATAAATATTCTAACATATACTCATTTTCTAATGTTCTCTGTATTGGTCCTGTAGGCCTATTAAGTGCACCACGTTTAACTTTTATTCAAGTATTTTATCGATTTTGCACGAAAAGCCCATACATTTGTCATCTAAAATCGATAAGATCTCTTGGCGCGTATTCTAGCACGGCTGATCTTCTTTTAACCGTCTTGAAAAGAAACATACATCTCTAGCTATTTGAAATGTTTTTAGCTTATCCCATTTTGAACCCTACACCTATCATAACACGTGTCACCTTGCTGATCGACTCGCATATCACGGGCGGAGACCTGTACGGCCCCATTATAGACCCTACCCTTATTATAATACGTGTCACGTTGCAGGTCGGCTCGC